AAAAAATATTTTTGTTCTATTATTAGGACACCGAAAAATGAAGAAATTTTTTTAAAAAAAAGTGTACTTTGCGCGGCAATACATTGCAGCTGGCAAGAAGTGGCAAGTTCGTAGCCGAGACCAGAGGAAAAAGAAAACTAATACGGCTGTGCCATTCTGTAGTTTCTTAATGAACTGTGTTCATGAAAAATTGATCCAAAAATAAAGTCATGTTCAATTTTCCAAAATCATGAGAATTTTTGGCGAAATTTTGTGTCAAACAGGCATTTTTTATTTTATTTTTAAGATAATGGTACAGTTCTAAGGTGCGTTAAAATGTCTGATTTTGAGAAAATAAAAAAAAAACTTTTGTAGAATTTTACAGAAATTAACTCGTTTATTCGTATGTACACAATGCGAAAGGACAAGCAAAAAGTGAGAAACATTTAACTGACGTTTCATCAAATCTGTTTATAAAACTTCATTCATTTGCTATTTATTTTAACGTTTTCAAAAAAGAACTTACGAAGTTAGGACAATTTTTGACGGCAAGTTTGCAGCAAAAATTAAACGTAGAGAACTTTGTTGCTTCCAACCTCTTTGGCGGTAATGGCTTCGTTTCGCGCGTTGTCATTTCGCAAATTGGCAACCCGGTGGTTTCAAAATTCTTCGAATTCATCCAATTGTTATCGGTTGTGATGGTTGTATGATGTAGGTCATAACTCTTATGAAAGGAAATAGATTGAAGGAAGGTTATAAATTTAATTTAGAACAAACACTGTTTACTGTAAGAAGTTTTAATAGCTGATTATGGTATTTAGAAATTTGTAAGCTCACTTCAGTGTATTCCAAGTAGGCCTGGGTTAAATTATTCTTGCTTTTCAGGATTATGTGCTTCAAATTCTGTAATAGTTAATTTTATTCCTGTTTGTTTCATTTGTAAAAGTAGGAAATGATTGCTTTTCCTTACTGTCTAAATGAATTCAGATCTGCATCTTAGTCGTTTGTTTGATTTAGTTGAATGGGACTTTTTTAATTTGTTGCGTTGTCATTAACGCAACACATCTCTTCAACCCTTGCTGAGCGTTTAGCACTTACTTGGAGTAATCCTCCTTTACTATCTTTGTCAAGTCTCGTCACGTCGCAGCTAGTTAGTGCCTTTTATCTCTTCGGCCAGGGGCTCGGCGCCGTTAGATCCCGGGGTTATTAGATGGCCACCCAACCAGGAGTCTCGAATTCGCCGTGACTTCACGGAGCATAGCAAACGAATTCGGTTAGCGACGCTGCGCAGTGGAGCCAGGAAGGGGAAAAGTTGGCAATAAGTATTTTTAAGCGTTTTCCGTTTTTTTGTAATAACAATAACATTTTATAATTAAATAATGACTTGTTTAACCATCATATATTTAATTAAATAACCTCGGAATCAGAACTCATCGTGCGACTCTTCTTCCAGAAGTGAATTTGTACTTGAAGGCATTAACATTGGTGTAACGTCTAAGTCAAATGCGTTTGTTATAATGTTTTTCTATTCCGTTTCTGAAATCAGTGGGTCAGACACAATTAACAGCCTGCGAAGCACTTCCTTGTTAGTTTACTCTCTGAATTTTTTTTTTTTTTGTGAAACTTTCTTTATATTATTTAAATATTTTGTCTCTGTCTCCTTGTGCCTTTTCACTTAATTATCTTCATTGTACGTATGGTTTGTAATATTATTTTAAATATTTTTAGAACTTCAGTATAGACTCCTGTTATTTCTGCTGATTATTTTCGAATTGAAACCAAACACATGGCTGTGTTATTATCATTAGTTCTCCCGTAACTTTGCTTAGGTTTATCAAGGAATAAACCAGTTAGGATTTTCAATATCATTTGCATATGACTTTTCGTAGCTGCAATTTTTTTCTCTCGCCCGACAAGCCATTGAAAGGAAGCTTATAAGAAACGAACATGCACATAAAACACATTCTAAGAATCAAACTGAAAGTCCAAACACGATATTCTCTCATTGACTGGAGCCCTAAAACTTTATCAATATCATTAGTTTTTGGACGTCAGTCCACAAATATAAGTGCTAAATGCTGTAGTATATGTCAGGTTTGGATCAGTACATTACAGACTTTTCCACCTAACGTTGTAAATAGCGTGGTCTAAAAGTAGTTGTAATTTTACTGCAGTAAATGTATCAGTAAATATAAATGCTTTGTTTTGCGGGATTTTTTCTTCCATGTTGCAGTTTTTCTTCGTTTTTCCCCTCTTTCTTGTCTTTAATAACATCACACAGAGACCTGCTTGTTAATGAAGAGCTCTCACTACCAGATCGTGAAAGAAGAATAAAACTAGTGGTACTACAGAATGGCACAGACTTTCCCGTATTAGTTTTCTATTTTCTTTGGTCTCAGCTAGCTATTCAGACTTACCACATACTCTTGCCAGTTGCCATCAATCGCCAACCAAAGTACATTTTTTGACATTTTCTTAAGTTTTAGGTTTAGTAATAGTAGAATGAAAATATTATTTTAAGATTATTACTGAACAATAAAACCTCGTCCTAAATATAAATATATTGCATTTTTGCAAACTTATAGGATACATTTAGCACTATCGCAACCAAAAGTTTCAAGAAAACATTTGGATCCGTTTTTGAGAAAATCTTGTTTTTGTAATTCTTTATTAATGCACATATTAAACGCAATATTGCACGAAAACTACTAAAATTTTCAATATATATATATATATATATATATATATATATATATATATATATATATATATATATATGACCTTAATGAAAGAACTCACTATGGAGAACAAATTTTATTTGAAAGAAAAATCTCTATATTTAATTTTGTAGTTGTAGGAAAACACCGAACAAATATCATACCTTGAAAATTTTTGAAAATTCAGGGTTAACCGTGAAAATCGAAACAATGCAACTTTTATAAGTGTGTGTTACTCTATTCTTACAAGAAATTTAAAGAAAAATTTTGGAGCTGTTTTTGAGAAAGTGTAAATGTCCGGCGGCCTTCATGTTAAGTACCCCCAAATTTTCAAGAATGTTTTTAAAAATGTCAAAGCTTTGACTCGAGCCAGATGGACAAGGGTTTGTTCAATTTGGAAAAAATCCTACGCATGGTTTAGGCGCTAGTAATGTTCACAGACACCAGCCGGACGGATGGACAGACGGATGTTTTTGGGGAAAATTTTTTTTTTTTTTTTCAGTATCAGGGAACCGGGAGATCAAAACGTGGATTTCTGTCGAAATCTCGAAATCGATTTTCGCAGCATTACATAACTTTCCCTATACTACGTTTATTCCTCCGTATACGGGAAGTAAACGTATACGACGTATACGACGGGAAAGTAAACGTATAAAAGTACGTATACGGGAAAGTAAAAATAGGATTTGAAAATTTTATTCCATTGTGACACGTGAAGTTTCTACTTGAAATTACCAAATTATTATTTAAGAAATATGTTTTTTAGTAATACAGATTTAAAGTACACACCTCAAAGTGTCGTATACACAGGCCGTACGATTCTGCTACTCTGGAGAGCAAAACATCGTAAAATACCCCTCTCTTCTTAGTGCGCGAGCGAAGAAGTGCGTCGTGTGCAATTTTAAACTTGCACTGCAAGGAGAAGCGGGATTCCCTCGTCCTTTTTTAATCGGGGAACCATGAAGGAGACATTTTGCTACCCCTTTCATGTGAAACGGAGCTTCTGAAGCATATTTTGATTTTGCACTTTTTTCCTCCTCTGCTGTGCTCTAATGTGCGCCGGCAGAATTTGTTGCGTCTAAGTAGGCGCACCGCGTCTCCTAGCTCCTTAAGAAGCGTTGAGCGCACTGTGGAGTAATCCTCCGTTAACATGTTTTTTTTTTTTTTTAATTTCAATTGGAGGAATCCTCCCTTATTAAGCACATTCTAGGGGCTGCTGGGTAGTCAAGTCACGTCAGTGGCAGTCAAATCAGGGAATCGCCGATAGGTAGCATCTTCGCGCTCGCCGTGCGTCATCTACCCATCGGCCAGAATTGGGAAGGAATAAAATAGGAATAAGGTTTAGAACGCTTCACAGGGGTTGTACTAACCCCTGTGAAACAGGTAAACTCATTTTGTCGTATCAAATTTCACATGAAGTTCTACTCGGCTATTGAACCCGAAACCTCAGAGGTGAAAGGCAAGCGACATCGTCACTGAGCCACGTTGTCAAGTAATGGTTAAGGTGTTAGTAGCGCAGAAATTGCAATACAGAAGGACCCCGTAAATCCGAAATTTCAGAATATCCTCACAAAATTCGGGTGAAAAATAATAAACAAAATAAATAAAATGCATATTTTTAGTGTAAAAAAAGGATTTTACTGTAGAACTGAACACCTAGTTATTGAAACACGTTGTCGAAATTAAACGATTTTTGAACTGGTAACTACGTTGTATTTCACTTGTTTATGTAGCAATAATTATCACCTAGAACAACTTGCAAAATCAGTAATATTTTGCCCGTATTTCCACTATGCTTTTGCCATAAGGAAGTGAAACTGCATGATGATGCAATCGCTATGCCATGTTGCCATTTTCTCACATCATCGCGCGCTACGTTGCTATGTCTGGTAATACTATAGATGTATTTGTAATATGTACGGTACAATTTATCGGATAGTCTGAAAATTTCCTAATCTGAACATTTCACCCCCCAATTAATTCGGATTACCGGGGTTCTACTGCATTTCAATATTATACGTATCCGTTCCCAATAATGCGAGAAAGTATGTGCTGATGAGCACTACTATTTTGTATATGCATTTCCGCCGCGGGAACAACGCGAGAATAATACAATCAAATAATATTTGGATTTTCAGTCAAAATCGAAACTTTTTTTCTTCGAGTTCTTGGATATTGAACGAAACTATAGTCAACTCTCACGTGGTCGGAAGCTGCTTAGTTTTCAGAATTGCAGTATATGCAATGAGTTTCAAATTAGTCGACGGCAATTGGCGTCCATTTGTCTACTAGATTTGTAGGTGTAGTCATTGTAATATCATATCTTCCTATCTTACCATGTGTGCTGAAAACCGTTCTTCGAAGCCGTTTACTGCTCCAATTTTGAAGTGGCAATTGATTAATGAGGAATCTGACGACGAACATAGCTTTCAAGCAGGACTGAATCAAAGAAAACAGAATGATGACGGAGATACTCATCCAAACGAACATGATTCTGATAGCACGTTTTCAAGAGACGAGTTTTCCACTGATGTTATACCTGCATCGTTTTCCAACCTGGTAAGGTTTGAGTTCTGAGTAATCCATGCCAAATTCGTGGAACCAATTCAAATTTCTTCAATATGACAATAATTTTTCAATTGATTTAAATGGTAGTAATGTTTATGTTTGAATGAATTCAGAATGTTACTTTTCAGAATGTCAACAAAGACCACATTGATATTCCTCAAACTGCCCACAAACCCAATAAAGAGTTTTTAGAAGAAGTAGAAAGTATCAGCTCAGACCTTACAGATTCTCTAATAATAAGTCCAAAACCAAATTCTGCTAATAATTCTCAAGAAAATGAATTTCAGAATAAGAAACCTGTATCACAAGAGAGGTCTAGATGTTCAGTGAAGAGAAATCGATCAATTTCCCCAATTTTTTTCCACAAACGAAAGAAAATAGATAAATCACAAGGTATGAACAGTATATTACAGTTAAGTCTGTTAGACTGTAATTTAATAATTCTTTAATTTAATGTTTTATTTACATTATTACTTGGGTTATTCCAATTGCTTTGGTATTTGCAGACTTTTGTAATGTGATCAAGAAAAATTTTAACCTATAAAGAGTATTTGTAGCTGCGCAAACATCCTTAATTTTTTTTAATACCAGGATTATTAATATTCATTTACACAAATAATTTACAAAAAAGACCTACTACAATTGAAAAGAAAATACTAATACTACTATGAAATTTCATCACAAATCTTAAAAGTAGACCACATTAACAGACAGTAATTTCTTTTTTGTCATGACAAAGTTCACATATTCCTATTACTATTAGAATACTAGTAAAAATAAGGAACTGAGAGTAATTTGCAATAAATAATGGATTTAATTGTGCCAAAATTTTCACCTTAGCAGGTATTTCCAAAACATGGCATCATCCTATCATCATTCTAAACATAATATAATTAACTTAATAAAATCAAACTTTCAATCGGTTCTCTAGTGCTTTCAAACAAATATTACACTGAAGTAGCTAATGTTATTAATTAAGACATGTAACAAGATCTTGACATTCAGTCAAATACTGGCATATAAGTGTGAATATATTAATCAGCCAAAAAATAAGAGAAGTGTACTAACAACAAATGTTGAGACTTTTTAATATTAAATATTTATTGTTCTTTCAGAATTTAGTTATGACCAGCCAATTAAGCAAAACTGTAACATCTATGCCAACATTGATGCACTTGTTAGAAAACTTAAACACACTGACAAGGTAATTATAATTCATAAGCAGTGAAAGCATTTTTGTCTTTCTTGGAATAACCAGCTATAACATTTTTTGCAGCTTTCACTGAAAGATAGAAAACGTGCAACATCTAAAATGAGACGTGCTCTAACAGACATTCGGAATGAAACAGAATCAATGCTACAGGGCATGACACCTGTGCCAAACAAAATGCATATTAAAATGCAACTAATGAGAAGTCAGAAACTATGTGATCATCTGATTGCCTTGTATGAAGACTTCCCTAGTAACTCTCAGGTAATTTTGTTAAGTTTTCTGATTGTGTGAGTGTAAATGATTTTTTGATTTTTTTTTCTTTTTTTTTTTTTAAATAGAGGTATGTTACAAATGTAAGAAAATTATATTGTACATTATTTTCTAAGCTCAATGGGTGTGCAACACTTCCTGAATAATTCCTCTTTACAATTATTGTTGATCTGTGCAAACAATGTCAAAACTCACTAAATTTCATTTCCTGCTGTCACTTATTTTAAAATTAGATAAAAAATGTCGCTAAAAATACATCTTTAATATTTATTGACATTTGACAAATTACTGAAACAAGTGGAAATATAACAACATTCTTTCTTGCATTATTTCTTACTTTTGCAGTTTCTGAAAATTCAATAATTGCAGAAAAAATCAGACCTGCATCATTTTTTAAGCAACCTTTACACTATCTGAGGGGGGAAATTGGAGCCATTTTGAAGAAATAATAAATTTCAAGTAACTTAAAGTAAAAATGAAGTGACAAATACTACTTTTTCCACAAAATTGTATATTATCTCATTTAAAGAACTTTTTGAACAGCTTTTAAATAAGAAGAAAGTCTCATTACTGTTGCAACAATATTTTTTATGTAAATTTTGGTCAATATTAAAAATACAGTGTGTTCGCTGAAAATGTGTACGGAAGTTTTATTCCCGTCCTTTGCTATATCCGAGGAAAGCTGGAAAGAACAACACATAACACAAATAAGTCATTTGTAAAATTCATTACAAGTTGTAATAAAATAGGTGCGGAAACTAATTATTTTAAAGCTAATATCATAAAGGTATCTTTACAATGACTCGAAACTCGAATGACTTCTCGGAATTTCAAACTGCCGAGACGCGGCGCGGAGTTGCTGCGTTGCTTGTGTATTGCAGTAGGATATCTCGCGAGTCTCAATTGTCCGATTTAAATGTAGCGTATTCTCAAGTTGCCGAACTGGACGAAGAGGGGTACGCTGTAATCAAATCGGGAGCTTCTATAACAAAAAAAATTAAGCCGTAACGAAGCTCCCGACTGGATGTTGGTGTCCCCCCCCCCCTCCTTCTGGCTTTTGGCCTTGAGAGAATTAGCAAATAAAGCGCGGCATATTCGAATTTGATAATTTCGAACTACCCTACTCATTAAATTAACTTATTTTTTCCGACAAATTTCATTTTCAATTTCATCTTCATCGTCAGTATTGTATCAATCTTCATTTTTTTGAAATTTTCGAAAATACAGAGTTCGCCAAAATGGGACCAGGATAATTTTCTTTACGTTCTTCAAATAATTCCTGCACACGATAAACAAAATTGAAAGAAAAATTTAGAGTCTCTTTTGAAAAAAAAATGTTTATATTGCCTGTTCCACGTAACCCTGCTCGTATATTCGTGAAATTGAACATGACCGTATTTGAATATGTTTTTGCGACCCAAGTCATTCCTTTTGTGCGTATTTTACTTGTCAGAGAAAAATTAAAGAAAAAATGGAGTCATTTTTGAGAAAATTTTGAAAATGTTGAGGCTTGATTTAAAATATTTCCTAAAATTAAAATGTCGGTTTCAAATTCAAGGGGTCGCTTCACCAGTCTGATCGATCGGGGAATATCAATTTTGGTGAAAATCCTGCTGACTGTTTAGCCGCTAGCGTTGTTCACAGACAGACACGACAGAGTTTTGCCGTAATCCACTTTTTCAGTATCAAGGACCCTCCAGCGTGGATCATGATTACACATCGTATTAGCGGAAGTAATTCGTCACATATAGGAACAACATTTATCCAATTTTTCGTTACAAGAACTCGGCAATTAAAGTTTACCTGTCAAAAAATCACCGTTTTTTCCCTGAGTGTTACAATACTTTCCCTATACTACGTAAGCAGAAGGCGAGAAAGTAAATATTAATGAACAAAATTTGAAGCGGTTTTCTTCCGAAAATTTTGAAAAACTATATTTTTAAAAAATGTACATGACCTTATTTAAAGATCGGTCTGTGAGCAACCGATTTCATTGAGGAAACAAGAACACGTACATTTTCGCGTTATTTTTAACTTTTTGCAATTTTCGAAAATGCAGAGTTATTGACGAAAATGAGACCTCCGCCATCCTTTTGAGCGTCTCGTTCCATTCGTAAAAAAAGTGTAGATCAGTTGTTTTTTCACAAAATGGGACTTTTTATAATTTGCATTAATTACACTCAGAAAATGCGCGAAAACTACTAGTTTTTATATATTAAAAACAATGTTTGTTGGTTGGTTGGAACTTAATGCGCTGCCGTACCGTTCATCCGATTACGATAAAACTTTGTCAACTTATCGCTTGTACTTGTGGGGAAAATGTAGGCATAGTACGATGGGAATATTCATTTACCTGCGCACGTAGACGCGCGTTGATGATTTTATGCTGTCCCAAGCGTCCCTGTTCAGGCTCTACACAACGGCACTCTACGCAACCCGCAGCACCCTGAAGTATGAAGTCTGCCTCTGCGATTGTGAAACAAAGCCCGGGAGAGACTGGTACAGAGGGACAGAGACAGACAAACGCAGAGAGAGAAACAAACAGTAAGAGAAAAAGAGAGAGATGGAGGACAGGACGTCTCCAGAGTTCCGCTAGTTTTTTTTAATAAGAAATTACGAATGTCCTTGGTGAAATATCTGCCTTTTTAATCTTATTTTGTTTTAGGCAAAAATTCTTATCTTCAAATTTGTGGTTTTGTAGTTTTCGAAAATCCAGAGTTCGCCGGAAATGGAAAACAGCTACTTTTCTTCTGTCCGCTGATACATACGACGAAAAACTTAAACAATTTTGAGCCTTTTAATTATTTTAAAAATTGCCCTAATTTCATTGAAAACTACTTCTATAATCGCAAAATAGTACATGGCGTTTTTTCAAGATCTATATCTTTAATATTGCAGTTGTATGGACCCCCGAAAAAGTTTGATCTTTTGCAATTGTCGAAAGACCATTTATTTCAACAAAAATTATACCAGTGCCATTCTCTTAAGTGATTTTACATCATCCACGGTCAAAGTTTAATCAAAAAATTTGGTGCCATTTTTGAGAGATTTTGAAAAGGTAATAATGCTTCGTTTAAAGTCCTCCCCCTTCTCTAAGAAATATCAAAATATTCCTTCCAAACTCAGAGGGTCACGAGTTCATTTAAATTGATTGAGGAATATCAATTTTGGAGAAAATTGGCTGAATGGTTCACGCACTAGCAATCAACCACAGGTGGACAGACAGATGTTTTGCCGTCAATCGATTTTTCGGTATCAAGGGCTACACAGGACGTCGATTCTGACTACACAACGTGTTAGAGGACGAAATTTTCTCATAATATAGGAACAAAGTTTATCCACTTTTTCGATTCCAGGATCTGGTAACTTGTGTTGTATATTAAAATTAATGATAATTAAAATAGAAGTTAATTGGTGATGTTGACTTCACGTAACTATAAGTTTGAGAGCAAGTTGTGAATGAAGAAAGAACACATAGATGAGAAAAATTTTTATCACAAGTCAAGCATATGGATGACACATGAGCGAGAGCCTACTGCACCAATTTAAATGAATTCTAAAATATACTATCTATCATTGTTGAATATTGTCTTTGTAATCTTACTGATTCAACAAAAAATATATGAAAATATATTTCCATTTATTGAATCAATTTACATTTAATTACTTTAATTTATTTATGTTTTTAAAACTAATTATTTAATATTTTAATGTTTTAGGAATAATTTTTTTTTTTTTTAATTTTCAGCAAATGGTGAAAATTTTTTAAAAAAATATTAATGTTATGTAACACTACACTAATACCCCTTATCCCTATGTAAAGTAGTGTAATGCTGCCTCAAACCCCCACCCCTCCTCTTTAGAATTACATAATTTATGGATGACTCCATAGGAGCAAGATTAACCCAATCTTTCGTTACCAGATTCTGATTACATGTTTTTCTATCACAAAATTGTTGATTTACACTGTGCAATTGTAAAACTTTCTCTTCACTATGTAAACTTAGAGTAACTTTCAGAAGTAATTTTTCATGTCTAAAAACAATATTGTATTAAGTCTTGTCATTATTTCATTCCATAAAATCTCTCAAGAATGCCATTAAATTTCAACATGACAATAATTTTAGAGAATTGGAAAATTTGGAAGTAATCACAAAGTATTATGCTGTATTCACGTAGGATACATCATTAATCAAAAAATGTTTATAGGATTCTTTGTAAACTCCTTCATATTTAGCTTTCCTTTTCTTCCAAAAGTCACAAATAATAATTAAACACAAAATGTTTCTAATATTTTAGAAAATGCTTCTGGAAGAGGTGTGCCAGGTGCGAGAAACTATTCAATGTGAGCTGAAAGGTATTCTAGAATTGATGAATTATAGTGAAATATCAGCCAAACGGTAAGTGTTCAAGTACCAAATTTAAATAAGTAAATGAAAATGTGAAAATGACTGAACAAAATTAAACACAAATAAGGTTTCTATTGTCAAGCAATTTTTTAGATTGATTCATAAGGGAAACAATACAGCATCATCTGAGTCAGACACCACTGGAACTTATCCCATGTCTTCTGAATTAACCAAGCAACTACTTACAAAACAAAAGGGACAAGAGAGACATCATGGAGAAAATGAAGAGTATACACCTCCTGAAGACCAGGTGGACACTACATTTTCGAATTCATTTAAACCTACCAAACAAAATATACAAAATGACTTTGGGAAAAACATGTCAGCCAAAAGTTCTTCTAATGAAATTATTGACTTGAGTATCTCTCCACTAGATGTTGAGAATGAAACTGATATACAATTAAATACAAATGCTTCAAAGAAAAAAAATAAAACAATCAGAAAATCATCTCAATTAAAAAAACGAGTACATTTCAAATTACAGCCAGATATTTTTCAAAATATGAGCACAAATAATAATCTATCTGCATTGAGACATACACAATTTCAAAATAAAAACTCAGGAAGTGCCAACATTGATCCCAATTCTCCCCTAACCGCCTCTAATGAAATTTTTACTCAACCAAAAGACTTTTATTCCCAAAATAAGATTACAAATTTTTCTGAAATACCATTGTCAAATAGTCAAAACCCATTCAATTATTCTGTTGAAATCCCAGAAAATTGTTTTAATGTTGAATCTGAACAAATATTTAGTTTTCCACTCCAAGAGAATTCATCGAAATTGTCACCTTCCATATCTCAAAGATCTGTAAATAGATCGAATATCAAAGAAATCAGTGATAATTTCAACAGATCTCAAGAGCAAGCATACATCTTAATTGAAGAAAATGATAATCAGAATGTTGCTTTGTCAAGCCCTATTAAGTCATTTTTGTATTGCGGTAATAAAAACCAAGATTTGCAAAACTTGCATACAGCACTCAAATCACAATCTCATGAAGATTCTCACAACACATGTCAAACTAGTTCATTTAACAATTCGCAAACTTCACAAACAGCCCCTGTTTCAAAAATATGTGATAAAAGCAGAATGTTAAAATCTAACATCTTCAGGGAATATACACAGACAGTTCCTCAATCTTCTACTCTCACACAATCTCATTTGTCAGAAGTTCCAACAAGCAAAGCTCTAGAAACTTCTCCTAGAGTAAATTCTATGAAGCCTTTTCATGAATCAGTAAGATCTCAGCATTCAGGCACAAAATTCAAGCAAAGCAGTAATCTTGATAATGCAACTTTGCATTGCCCAGAACCAATGGCTGAAAAAGATCAACAAAGAAGTAATTTCAGTTCTGTATGTGCAATACAGAATTCCTCACACACATCACAGCACCTTACTCCAACTTCTACACCTACACAAGATACAAGTTATAATGCAGTAAATTACTTCAACTTTCCTTCGTCTCCTTGTAACCTACCTCATTCTCAAGATCTACTTTTCTCTAATTTTTCAGGTGAGATAAAGATCCCAGTAACAGATGCCCAGATCTGTTCTGAACATTCACCAACTACACATCAACACTACCACACCCGAATGTCTCAAATACAGAAAATTCATAAACCAACTCCCTCTCAAAAGCCCACTTCCACATCATTCAAGTCTCTCAAACAAAAGGAGACATGGGTACATGTTATACCACCTAAATTACCTTGGCAACTGGGTGAAACTCTCCCAGAATCACACACGCCAGATTTCCCCACATTACCAAGCTCTCTATTGGAGGCTCTGAACGAGTTCAAGAAATTTAAAATACCAAAACTCCCTTGGGAAGATGATAAATAAATTTATCACTCACTTTTAGAACTGTACACAGAATAATTTTTTTTCGTTCCTTTGTTTTATGTCTCTGAAGAAACATACCAAATATAGTTTTCATTGTGGTATTATTGCTATTTGGGAATGAGAATTCAGGTGGCTGCTATTTTGGCAAAGTTAAAATTACATTGGTTTTACCCCACCCTCACAAAAGTTTTTTAATGCAAAAAATTAGATCCTCTAAACATTAAACTTTTGAAATAATATTAATCCATGTTAGTAAATAATTGATTTTTAAACTGTATTTGAAATGGCTATTTTAGGATTTTTAAGATTTCAAGGCAACATGTTTTCCATTTTATTGATTATAATATTCAAATTCCACCAAAAATGTTGAACAGATGTGAACTGTTTTTTATAATTTTCTTGACTCTTTTTCTGTTTTGTTTAATTGGACATGGTGTTCAAAGTTGATTTTGACTGTTGGGAACTGTCTAATTAAGTAAAAATATTTACAAATTAGAAATCTTTACCATTCAATCGGGATGGAATATCAAACTAGATTCTAGTTAGAAGTTATCGTTGCCTTTAGTTAGTCAAAAATATTGATACTGACAACTGATACTGTTCTCACAAGTTAAGAGCCATTTTACTTTCTTGTATACGTATGTATATACAGAGTAATATACATTGAATAAAGAGAGTTATGTAATTTGCTATTGGATTATCATTCAATGAATCCAAAAACCAAGAGAAACAATTTTCCAAGTGAGAATTGTGAAAATAAAGAAACTTGAGCCTGAAAATATTTTTAATAAAAATGTGGTATTTAAAATAATACATTATAATAACAATTTCTGCTGGCACATTTCTGCTGGCATTGCCATTTTAGGACTGAGAACAATAAAATTCCAATTATGCTGAAATACTGATCACACAAATGAGAAAAGGGCCAGATATTTTCAAAAGTGATCAGAATCAAAGGAATCATCATCAGATACAATTTATTCTAACACAAACAAAAAATTAAGATTCCTATCATCAAATATAACTAGTATATAAAAGTTTATTGACAAAAAATATAAAAAAATAGAAAGTACTGTAACATTATGTAACTTAATTTTTATGTTATAAAACAATGATGTTATTTCAAAAGAGACATAAGTTGTGTTACCATGAATAGTTCTCTTGTGTGACATTAAGTATAGTGCAATGCTGCTAGGATGCGACTTCTGCTTAACATATTAATGCATATTGTGGTTACACATACAAAACATGCTATGTGCACTTTTATAAAATAAATTATTTACACCTTGAGGAGCAACCCTGTGATATTCTTTCAAAAACTTAACACTATTCTTTGAGGGCTTCTACATCTTCAAGACAAAGTTGTTTTTTTTAAAAAGAAAGTCTATCTTGCTTTCCGTAACAATCAATTGTTTGTATCTTAGGTAATTTCAGTATGCAGAATATCTGTTATCTTTTTCATTTGCTCAGGTGATTTCAGCCTCTCACCTTTACCTAGTATCTCAGGCATATTCTTCCTTTTGGGGTGACATTTCTCTATATCTATACACTAGAAATCTGGTAAAGTTTTAATCCTGTATCAACCGATGTATTTACCCTGTTGCATTCATGTTCTTTCTTGAAATGTTTTCCACCTACCAAAATTAACAAAGAATTATATCTCAAAAGTTATGACACTCCTTGTAGAGTTAAAATACCACTAGTTAAACACTAATCAAATTAAGTATCTACAGCATTACTGTGAGGTAAATTGTCATTACTTGATTCATCAAAATGTGTAATCTTTGGAATACTATTCTTTAATAATTTTCATTATATTCCCTATGAAAATGTGTAAATGTAAACCTGTATCCAAAAAGGAAAAATTTGGCAATAAAAGCAATACAACAATTTTGAATTTTATTTTTACCCGAGGAAAATTCACACCCTCTCAAGTAAGCGAGGCTTGAAGTTTCCTAGCTGCTCTCTCACCTTAGTTATGGCCTTTTATGTTTACATGGACGATTTTCCCAAGGTCCTTATTTCGTACACCATTATTTTGGTTTCATCATATGGAATGGTCATATTAAGAAACTAGTGGAAGTAACCCAAAGTTGCCTTAGCATTTACCACAATTTTATATTAGGCAGGAAAAAGAATGAACTCTATCTATAGAGTAAAATGAATGTAATTTTATTTTCCCCCCCTTGTGCTCTTCACTTTGCCTCTACCCTCACCGCACCTCTCTTCGTTCTCCCTGTTCACCCCACCAATTTGCAAATTTGACCTTAAATTTTATGGAGCCTCATTGCGGTATCAGAATTAGCCTAAATGACTTTAGTAGTAACTTTGGGTTTACAAAACCTTCCACTCCACTTTGGTAGATTTCTACATTGTTTTCAAAATATTTGCAAAAAATTAAACACTATGGTAAGCACTTCAACAACTTACTATAAGGAGTGAGAAAGTAAGGATGGGTAGTTTCTAGGAAATCTCATTTAGATATTTCTGTTGTTTTGAAGATCCAATGTATATAACTACATGAAAGTTGTATAAACAAACATTCTTTTTATTTCGTAGATCATGACTGCCAGTTTCAGAAAATTATGTCATTTATGGCCCTGACAAGCTCCTCATCCAACAAATAGATGTGCCAGTGTTTTTGTTGCACAGACAACATCAGACTAAAGAAAGGCTTTTTTTGTATATAAGCTTTACAAATTTGCAAGAAATTGTTTATAAATTTTACAGCACAGCCCATCCTCCCCACTTAACTTCAGCCCAAATCTTCACTGCCTGTTCTCACCACCCATCCTCCTGCGTTTTATTTTGTCAACTGAAAAACTGCTTTTGAAATTTGTTTCCAAAATTAATTATGGTTCTTCTATAATTTATAGTCCTGTTATACAAAAAAATAGTATTTGCCACTTTTTTATAATGTTGCTTTATTGCATTCATACTAAATTGAAAACTTGCTTCTAACATCACCTGTCTACAAAACAAGTTCTAATGCAAACAAGCATAACATTATAAACTAGTTTCATATTTGTGCACTTTCAGCCTTATGAGTGTGCCTTAAAGTCTTTTTGTTTTCAACTTCCAGAAGAAGAGGTTTTGGTAGCCAAAGATTTTCCTCTAACCATTCAGTCAAACAATAAAACCTTCATTTTTCGTTTTTAATATAATATGGCATGTAACAATTTTTCAGATCCACATTTACAGGTTATTTTTGTATTGCATTTAGAAGAGGAAACTTGGTGAAAATAGGGCAACTTAACTAACATAAAATTTTGTCATTTTTCTAAAATTATTGCATTCCATTATTTTAAATTGTGCTTTTTCCACATTTTTCATGATAAAGTTTGTGTTTATTGGGATTAAACATACATCAAAATGAAGCATTTTTCATGGTTTTGATTATATTACTTTAAAACAAACTAAATGTAAAATATTGCCATAAATCTTCTGTATATAAAAATGGATGTTGGTACATACCAAATCAATGAACTCCTACACTGTTCGACCGATATCCATGAAAGTTGTTACCTCTGTGTTTTCTCATGGGGAAAGTTCTAATGCTGTTCATTTTGTTGTAACTGCCCCTAGATGATACTGCAGCACAAGATGGCACTTCAGTTAAATGCAATTCCCAACTCCTGGGCTTCATTGTTGCTGGGCATTACTGTGTGATAGGGAAGACAGGAGAAGCAGGCAGCGAGGGATGGAGAGATAAAAAGGGAAAAGAGAGAAAAGGGCCACAGAGAGGGAAAAGGGAGATAGAAAGGAGGGAACAGAGAGCACAGGACAATGTCTGCTGGGTTGTGCTGGTATTATATAAAACAGTTTAATGTAGATACTGAACATCCTTAATAATTATACTCACCTATCATCAATGTCTGTATTAATTATCACAATTAAAATAATAATATATTATTTATTTTTAATAATAATTATTGTTGCTCATAATTCCTAAATACAGAGCCTGTATGCAATTCTTTTAATACTAATATGCAAGGTGTTTTCATAGTTTATAAAGTTATTTTTTCACATGGTTTTTAGGATTTTCACTGGGTTTTAAGGTTTCTAGGGTAATATGCCAATGCTGTTTTCGTATGTTTTCCACATGGAAATGTTTACTTGAGGGCACTCAAAAGAGGTGTATATATCTTGTGTTAAACTGGGAATTTTTTTTTTCAGGAAAATTTTCTTGGAAACTATTAACACTATATTTGATTTTCCCACTCTTAATAGACTAACCTCCATAGTAATATTTTCATTAAAATCTCAACGTGAATTTAAGGCAGCATTACAACTCTTTCTGTACACCACTTGCACAAGAGAGAAAAAACCTCTTAAAAGTTTATACACATTTAGTGTTTCATTTTGACAATGACTTTAATTAACAAAAAAAAGTCCTGCACAAGTTATTTACTGAACCTAAAAATTAAAAAAAATAGTTTGTCAAATTTTTTATTGCTTTTTTATAAATCAAGATCAGTTTTGCATTATTTATATTGAAGTTTTATAATAGATTATGCCCAGCAAGATGCTGTGCTTTCCTGTGAAAACCACATCAAAATTCTTTTACCCAATCCTTAAATTAGCCTGATCAGACGTTAAAATAGTAAAAGTCATACATAGGTTTCCGTATTTTTTAAATAACTATATGAACTTACGTAACAACAGTTATTTTGAAATTACACACTTTCTATTGTATTAATAATGAAAATATCATTAAGTAAAATGGGAAATGTTTTATTTGAATTGTGAAATACATAATGAAATACTTTATAGACTTTGCATATTTCACAATGAACCTTAAAATATATTTGAGTACATTAGTTTCTCAAAAGACCATTTTATACATGCTCTTTTACTCCAACTATTTCACATGAGATTATGACAAATAATCAAACAAGACACACAAATAAAAATATATATACATAACTGTTAAGGTAATTTAACTTTTACAAGAAATTAAGGAAAATCATTTAACATAACAAAACAAAAAAAAACATTTCTACAGATGTTATGGATTTCAAAAATATACATTTATTTAGTTCCTGTCAATGATGCAATGAAAATTATTCATTGCAAAAACACTTAAGTAACTAAACTTTCAATAATCATAGTAATTACATCAGCGGTTCCCAAACCGTGTTCCAAGGAACCCTTGGGAGCCTTTGTGAAGCCTTTTGAAGGTTCCATGAGAATTGATAAGAATTAGGTTCCAAACAAATGTTAAAATAAAACTTTCACAATCGGCTGAAGATTTGCTCATTTTGTTGTTAAACTATATGCTTGATTTGAAAGCAATTATAAGTATCAAAACAATTCAGTGAAAAGATTCACAGACCATGATGTTATGAAAAAATGTATGAAAAAGGTTAGAATCCAAATGAAAGAAAAGCGTCTTCCAAAGCATTCCATGGCCACGAACATTTGAAAACCTCAAAATTATACATTCTTAAATGTTCTGTGAAATCTTGAAGAATTATAAATGGATTATGTATCAGCAAAATAACAAATTGAAGCACTCAATGCTCAACCAGGAAATTAGAGACGTGTTGTGTCAATTAACAATGACAATATGATTAATTACGATGATTATGATGCAACACTTTTTATAAAATTACAACAACAAAAAGTCTATGACTTATTCACTTATATTCTAAACTCTCATAAGTCAGTAATTAAAATATTGAATGAAATAACAAAATTTGCATTCCTTACCAATATTCCCTAAATCAAAATTTACAATCATAACAAGAACAATGTAACAAGCTCTGCCTACACATTGTTTCCATATATAATACCGTTTTCAATTCATAAACCTGTCAAAATTTATCACAATAATATAATTATATTTGATATGTATTTTGATTATTACAATACATAAATACCAAATAAGACTAACAATTTGACAACAAGCTTTATTGTAATTTAAGGCCGGACTTTGCAAATCTCTGTCCATAAAACTTCTATCAATGATTGAAAGACAAATTTTCCCAAAATACAGGAAAGTTTCAACCATGTTTACTGACATCTTCCCAATTGAAAACATATATAATCTCTCAAACTCTAATTGGTAATAAAATCATCATGCCTTCACCTATTTCACACAAAACAAAACACTATAAAAGTATATTCACTGCTTGGAAAAAATTTGTATAGTAAGTCTGTGTAATGATTATTTTTGGCATAATTGAGATTTAAGGTTTTTTCCAGACTGATAAGTCAAGGCAGAAAAAAACAACAACTGAAACTGAGCAAAAAACAATCATTTCACTCAAAAAATAAACAATTTTTTTACGATAGTACAAAAATGCTATTACAAACCATGATTTGTATCTTTTTTACTTTTCATAATTATCAATACAAAGCACTGTCTTTCTTCACCATCTTATCTGTAAAAAAAGACTTTTTTGCATTGTCTTCAGAAGAGACTAACTTCATGCATGCAGATCATTATGTAAAATCCCTTGTTTTCATACAATCGTAGAAAAAATTATTTTCTAACAAGAAGAAGAACTAAGGAAAGAAGACACCAAGACCCATCCCCAAACAATTTGAAAACATTATAATAAAGAAAAGTGTCCTGGTAAATATTATTTATTATTATAATTCTCTTTGCATTAAAAGATGAGACTCAAGATATTAGATCTTCCCTTTAACATACAAATTTAATTCCAAACTTATTGGCTACAATATCTGAATTCCGCTGATAACAGTAGTTGCTGTTGGATCCTTTATAATTTCAATTAATCATGAAATGGGAATTTCAACATTACATACCTTACAAAGAATTAGACATTTTCATTAAAGAAATATCTTGGCTTTTGGCCATCAAAACCAAGAGAAGACAGAAAAGCACCTTTTTTGGCACAATCAGAAGTTCCATATGTTTAAACTAGCATTTCCATGTCAAGTATTTATGCCAAAGTAAAGGTAGATCAGTTTCTGCATTAGGTGATGATGCCCTTACATTTTAATGGGCCAAAACATTTCTGTTTCCTTGCAAAAGACCATTTCCATAATCTACCAAAAAGTTCTTTTAGCAAAAGGATTTTCATTATATCACATAACACAATTGGATGGTGCTCTAGATATACTATACATCATTCCCAAATACTAACAGTATAACATGATCAAAAACATGAAACTTAACAGAAATAGGCCTATATTTTTGCTACATAACTAGAAAAATCTCAAAACGACTTAATATTCTATGTCAAAATCTATTCTAAAACATAAAAATGGTATTTGACAATATTTAAATTTTCTAATTTCCATGTGCAATTTAATACCCAAATATTACTATTTGATAAATAATACTGAGCCAAAATGGCATTACCTGAGTCTTAATGAGGAGGGATAAGAATCAATAAATGGAAAAGAAAATTACAGCAGCAATTAAAAAGATATTAACAATACAATTTGTGTGTCAAAACATCTTGTTTGGAAAAATGTTTGGCACTTTTTAAATACATTTAATGACTAGTACCGACAAGATAAGGAAATTAGAAATTGACAGTATGAAAAAGAGATGTGATATACACACATAAAATGCATATACCTATATAGATAACCCCTATTTAGTGTAATCGTGGAAGCCAACTTTTTTTAACATTAATGAGAGTTTACACTAAATGGGGGAGGACAATTTCAATTGCAAAAAGCATGAATTTTACACATACAATTTACTTTTATTTTTATGTCCATGGACAAGATCAGTGACTAGCACAGTACCAACAGAGGAAAGAAAATATTGTGAGTAACAAACTCAGGTCAAGAAGAATACACTCAAAATAAGAAAAAATGCATGCTCCTGGTGGTCTTAAACTGCCACATATTGTGCTAAGTGAGTGGCTTACCCTTCATCTGGGTTTTACAAAGTAATTACCACTTAACTACGGATGAAAATGCATTATTTCTTATGGTGGTATTTTCGGGACAAGAAATTTTAAGGTGGGGACTACTTTAAAACTGGATTTAACTAAATAGGGGTTTTACTGTGTATTCAATTCAAAGACAGCCTGAAGGGAAAAGAAGCACAGCAAAATTGATGTACCAGAAAGGTATATTTTGTGTAGTATTCCAGAGCAACATATCTTCACTGCCCAACAAATATTGTTTAAATTTTGAAAATACTACATATTGCATAAGAACTTGATAGCATTCATCACTTTCTGAAAAGGGAACACTCGCTTCTAGAATGCTTCACATCGATCACAACCACATAATTGGATATCTTAAAAGCTGAACTTGCCACGCACTTTGAAAAATCCTAAAGCATTTCTGTTGTGAATCAGAGAGCTCAACCCAATATAATTCTGGAGGATTATTGGTTTATGCTCAACTCGGCACCTTGCCACTGCAAAATTGTTCTCTTTTTTCTGAATACTTTCCACAGCTAACACAAGGGTGCGGGAAAAGTCTTCTACATCATACATAGGTTTGGAACCTCCATCTGCAACAAGATGAACAAAATTATCTCTTTAAAAAAGCTCAAGCACAATTTTTTTTTGTAAAAGTTAGCATTTTTTGTCCAATTTGTTTGAAATGAATGAAGCATTATAGTCTTACCATCATATATATAACTATAACATTGTATTATTGCGAGAAATAATGTGCTTTTTTTAGCAACGATTTTTCACTTCCATAAAAAAAATAAAAACTTTCTCATTTGAAAACACCTAAACCTCCAAGCCCTAGAAATAATATTACCTTATGAGTCAAGGAAAGTATTTATTAAAGGCAAATATTTTCCTTATTCACTTCTATTTTCTTGTTTACTGAATCACATTAATTTCTTGCAGAATTTCAAATCAATTTTATCAATTAACGCACATAAATATATTTCAACAGAATGTTAAATGTTTAATATCGACCTTTCATTTTTGAAGTATAGTTACAACATGAAAATAAACTACTACTGTTACAGAATAGCACAAACTTTCTCATAGCAGTTAGTTTCTTAACCTCTGTAGTCTGGGCTAACTTTTCAGATTTGCCCCACCCTCTTCTCAGCAGCCATATATTGCCTAAAAGGCAATTTTTCATATTTTCTCAGTCCCTCGTTCCCTAACACTAGAATTAGTATCTGAATTTAAAAATTAGTACAAGTGTAAAACTTAGTCCTATATGTAAATTTTCATTGAAAAATTTGGAGCTGGTTTTGAGCAAATGTTAGTGTGTTTCTGAAAATGCAGAATAAGAAGCTTATTTTTACAGAAAATTTTATGAGTCAATTGAAAAAAGAAACTATAATAAAAGCTTATAACAAATATTAACAATGTGAGAGATATTTCACAAACATTACTTTAATATAATTTTAAAAAATCAATAGAAAACATCAAAATGTAATTTATGTCATCTTATTCAAAACAGTCAGCACTATCCACACCCAAGGTTTTACAAATATATATCAACAAATGTATTAATTGTTTATTTTGTTTTATTACTATACTAAATATACAAAGGAAATTTCACACAATAATTCACCTTTATGCCAAAAGAGTGGATGTGAAGAAAACGTAGTCCATGGTATTTCGTTGTTAAAAGGATTCCACTTCTTGCTAAATGCTAGAGGTTCACCTCTATTCCACATAGCTCTTAAACCTCTCATATTACGTGACCTGGCCAAAAAAAGACGACTTCATTGTTAAAACATTTTTAACTTTGAAGTTACAACTTCTATGAACACAATAAAAGAACAAAATATTTAAAAAATACTATTCATAGCATTTTTTACTTTTATGAAATCATTTACAAATCTCATCCTGATGTTCATCAAAATAAATAATAGATCGCTTCCCTTACATATTTCACACTTTTTGTAAGAACTAACAATTGACTATAAACCTTGTTTTACAATCACAGTACTACAGACTTTAAAAACAAATAAAATAAAATACCGTTAATTGTGGTAAGCCTCTGGCCATGACACCTGATCTACTTCACCTCTTCAAATCACATTATAATCACAAAAGGATTTAAAGAGTAAGGTTGGGAGGACAAATATACAGTAACATTACCCCTCCATAGCTAGCAAGGAATCATCCTCAATTTCTAAGTAAATAAGAAAAACTCAGACAAAACGCAATCAGGATGGTAGCTGGAGGTCACAACTTACAGACTGCAGAAGTAAGTGTTCTAGTATAACAAATAGATGGCAAAAATAATTTCAAATCATTGAATGCAGAGCAGTTACAAATTATATAATAATGTGAAACGGTTAACAGAAAGAAACTTTTGTAATGACTTCACTGGTTTCTTGGACAGTAATTTCACAAAAACATCTAAAGAAATCTTTCTAAAAAGTATTTAAAACAATAAAACTTGTTACCAGAAAGAGAGCATGCAACAGATGCACTGATAGAGCAAGCAATATGTTAATATAGTCATCACTCCCCAAAGACGAAAACAACAGTTAAACAAAGGTAAATTTAAGCAAACAGGTAAAGAGTACTGATAAAAGATCCATGCCTTTAGATTTTTGAAAAACAATGATAAGCAGAACACAATGACCACTAGCCAATTCCACAGCAACAGAAAATGTGTTGTTGTTGTTTTTTATACATAAAATGTATATAAAGAAAACTGGTTCATTAACTCTTTTTAACTTCCTTTCTTTCAACATGAAAAATACTGCATTAATAAAAAAAAATACATTTTTGTGTTTTTGAAGTATAGAAGAATTCTAAAACTGCAACAACACCACAATCACACACTGAAGTTGGCATTGCTTAGAGTTAAAGTGGAAGTGACCAGCCAGCCAGTATTAAGGAGTACCTCGGCTCAAAGCAAGTGAAGTCAAATGGAGAAGCACAGAAGTCACTGTTTCCTGGGGGAACACGTGTCCACCGTTCTTGCAAGGGCTTCAACAGACACCCTTTTACCACTGACACCACACCAGTGGCCAACCCGTTGAGCCTTCTAAAACAAGATACCACATGTACACACATACATCCAATATTCAATGGCAAGCCCAAGCATAAAGCTACACATATTAGTGCAGGCATGTGCAAAATTAAAGCCCGACAGCCACATGCAACCCAGCAAATTAGTGTTACTCAATCACAACTTGCAACATTAACTACTTTCATTCTGCATGTTCAGAAATTGTCCAAAAATAGTGTTTTGTTCGTTTTTCTATGATCAGGTGTATGTGATGACATTTTTTATCCATTACAACCATAGTCATTTCACCTTTATATTGCTATCATGTTGTTTGTCTTGGGTATACCTCTTGTCCAAGTGGGAGTTGACAGGTAGGGCCATCTACATATGAATTTCTTCATATCTACTCTCTTTCTCTGAACACAGTAAACTACATGATGAAGCTTTTAACTGAAGTGTCAGGATTTTGAAAGGATAAATTTAATAGTTCTAAAAAATTGGTGCCCACACAGCACTCTGAAGTTTCCATTATGGCCTGGGCTTGGAAGAGGTTGCACACCCCTGCATTAGAAAAAAATACAATCATAAAAGTTATTATTTGCAGTCTTCAATATTCCAATTGTCAATGTAATAAAGTTTTTAATGCATGTTATAATCTTCAGTACCCTTTTCATTTTAATACTTCATATGGGAAAAGAAGTTCAGCTGAAATATATAATGACTACAATACTGAATGAAGTGTAAAAGGTGAATTCTTAGGGAAAGAAAGCAATTTTCACAAAAATTAAAGAAAGCAGAATGCAGATAGTATAAAGCTGTGTACATACAACTTACAGTAGCAAATCCAAGGAAAAATCATTAAAATAAAAGGGTCAATCAGCATATGAAGAAAAGGTACCTTCTAAACAATTACACATTCATTTAAAAAAGGATAAATACAGTTTCTTTCCTAGAGAACACCAAGAGAATAATAAGGAAAACAAAGAGATTAAAGTACAAATACAATAAACAGAACATAAATGTTCATATCTATCAATTCTTGATGCACAATATACAATGCATCACGAAACATTCAATAATATTTAACAATACTGAAAATTACAAGATTCAATCACACACCTTGAGCCAAATGAACATGTCCTGTAAGCACATACATTACTTCAAGCATGAATTACTGGCCCACACATATACAAGCCCCATCAAAATCCTTGCAATCATCCCAAAAAAAAAAAAAACATCACATAAGACAAATTCAGAATCTTATTCAATAAGTCATACTGTTTTTATAACCTAAATTATACTCACGGTACTAGGGAGCCTGATGGGTATATTAAATCTCCAATAACCAATGTATCAACAGTTTCCAATGGTATTTTTCGATGTTCTAGCTGTTTAAGTGCTATGAAGTCATACTTAACTGTAATCAGTGAATTTTCAGTCAGAAGTATTAATCTTTCTTTTTCATTATCCCATAAGCTTATTCTGTATAACAAAGAAAAATGTACATTTTTTTAACAAAGGATTTAAAAAATTACACACAAAAAGAAAACATGATATGACATTTACAACAAAACAATCTTACTCAGTTAGTAACCAATTTCCTAAGATTGCACCATCTGAATCAGTGGATACAATATCACTTATACTCTCTCTGACAGCATTTTCTACTAAACCATCCCTATAACTGAAGAAATCCTTAGCATCTTCTTGAGCTATAACAGGATTCTGACAGATAATACCATTATTAGAAGCTTCAGCACTGGAGGTCCTGGATCGCCTAAGTGTTTCTGATACTACAAACAAAACAATGTAAGTTAACACAAGATGTATTCTCTTTCCCCTACATAAGATCACCACTGTCTTTTTAACATACTTTTCTTGGGAATAGAAGTTATGGGGGAGACAGCATCAGATCCACTACACACTGTTGACTTTCCGGGCTCTTCTGCTTGTCTAATGGGTTTACCTGGCTGAGGGTTACTTGAATCGCTTATATTGTCTGGTGATATGGCTAATTTCGCAGCAGATTCACTATCGTCCCCAAGACTACTAGGACTTCGACTTTGAAACAAGTCTTGTTGTATCTGCAACGTCGCTCCATGAAAATCAACAAGTGGCCCATCTTCTAATAGAATTTCATCGTTGATGTCATTATCTTTTCCAAAATTCGAACTCATGTTGGAAAATAAACAGCAACGCCACTAACTCTGTCATCAACAAAACGACACTCACTTACATACGTCAAACATCATCTGATAGATACATCTGACAAAACAGCCAGCCAAAATATGACTGGACACATACGAAAAGTACCGCGATAATAACACTGCTTTTCTAAATTTAGAAAAAACTGCTTACAATTCTAATATCAAAATAAATCAAAAGCATTATGATACATTTTTATTTATTTTATGAACGATTTAAACAATAAAAAATTGTAAACATTAACTTTATAGTGGAAGAGTGGTACATTTATTACCAACGAAGAAATGTGAAACTTCAATAGTTGGTTTCACTGTTAAATTATTTCTTGGCGCGAAATTTATTTTTGTTCAACTTTCGAGCACTGATAAATTTGTCAGAATCTCTCCGAAATGTAGAACTTCTTCAAAAAGTTTCAAATCAGTGTTGGTGACGTATCGCCCAAGAATTATTGTGCCGTTTGTGCGGCTCAGAGAAGAGCAATTTCATTGTCAAAAAAAGTATATTTTGTAAAGAATAAGACTTCATGAAAGAATTGGAAAAGTCGAAATTCCTGGTGCTGGTTTTGCAATTTTTTGTACAGAGTTCAAGGACACTGCAGACTGCATTTCAGATATAATCACTTCACAAGCCACAGAAACAGACGTACGCTGTCTAGATATTTCAAAAACTAATTACAAAATAGAAATACAAATTTGGCAATAAGCCCAATACAGAACATTTTAATGTCATTTTAAATGGAAAAGAATACAATATGATCAGTGGCGTAGGCTCAATGGATGCGAGTGATGTGTCGCATTCCCAAGATTTTCGGCCCTTTTAAAACTTTTGTTAAAAATGTTTTCCTATTCCTCAAGTATATCTCTCTGTTGCGATTGTACTTTTTGTTGTTGTTTTTTTCCTCATGAGTTTTCCGGTAGACGCTTGTGGCCGTTGATGTGACAGACCGAGAAACATCCCTTCGACAGCTTCGCTTCGTAGACGAGGCCATTGAACTCTCACCAAGTGCTGGGTAGAAGATGCAAGCTTTTGGCCGACGGTGATGCGACGCATCGCGGACTGCTCAAAGGCGCCCCTCCGAAAGGTTCTCCACCGCCTCCTTTGAAAATTTGTCAATTCTCTTCTTTCAGTAGGACTGGGAACCCCAGTGGGCACGTGCTAACGACCGGTGACTCCATAGCGTGATGGGGGCAGCGGGACATCTTGACCACACTACACATGTGTGCATACTCTTTTCCCAACAGTACTGTTGTATTGTCCTGATCCAGTACGCGGTGAAGGAGAGGTGGGTTGTCAGTATAGGTCAGAACTGACAAACAACCGCAAGGTGGCTGATTTTCTCGAGTACTTTCGATTGTTGCAAAAGTGCTGAGTTTTTCTTGAAACTGCATCGTAGAGTACACAGCGATGATTAGAAGCAAACAATTTTCGTGTGAAAAGATACAACATGGCAAGCATAAGATTTGTAGAGTTACACGAGGCATGAAACGGTGAGTGAACTCCCAATGTCCTTTGAAAGGTTTCAAAAACTCTATTTATTTTTTAAACAGCTTTATTTTCTATCTGTTCAATCTAGTGATTTTACAGAGATTTGCATAACTTAATACTAGAAATGGGCCAGGACATACGCAGGCGGGGAGTTCATTTAGTCCACGTTCTCTCTCACTTTGTTACGATTCTGTTAATTTAGTGTTTGGATTTCTGTTAATTATTTTGAATTTGAGACAGTCTAATGTTTAATGTTTGTATGTTTATTTATTTATTTTTGTATTCAATTGGCATTCTTAATGAAGCGTTTATGGCGGGCATAATTTATCCTTCGGATACTTTGAAATGATTTTGATGTCTCCTGGTGTACGTCCTAGATTAAAGTGAAAACACTATTGAATTCTCAAGTGCGCTAGAAGACGGCGGCAAATCGACCTCTAATTAACCAATTAGGTATATAGATCATTTTTCAATGTACTTTTGTGCATTATTTTGTTTATTACTGACGGAGCAAGCAACACAAACTTTGCAAATCTCAAAGACGGTACAGTAGGTATGTACATCGGAATACATAAGCACATAGTTCGATGTCGATCAGATACCTTAATTCGTCTACCTTGTTTAATCCGTAAAACTCTGATCGCATCCCCCTGCTCACTGAGCATGATACAATGTGATTCATTATAGTTTTCTATTTCCTTTGGTCTCGGCTAGCTATTCGGACATGTCGCATTCTCATGCCAGCTGCCATCTATCGCCTCCCAAAGAATATTTTTTGACATTTTCTTAATTTGTCAGTTTTCTAATAGAACAGAAATATTATTTTAGGTATACCCAAGAATAGTAAAACCTCGTCCTAAATGGATATTTTCTTTGAAAACTTTGGAGCCGTTTTTATGAATATGGGGTTTAAGCGCTACTGTAAATTCAAAATTTGAACACTTTTCACAGAAAACTATTCAATTTTCGAAAATCTTCATATGAAGTAATTTCAAACCATTTAAGTCTCAAATGCAACAGTGTTTACAAATTGCTGGAAATGTTCATATTAACAGCGTGAGAGATCTTTCAAAACATTTACATTTGTGTAATTTTTGAAAAAAACAAACAAAAAATACCCTAAAATGAACTTCATGTCAGTCACTATCTGTTCCAAAAGTTTAAAGAAAAAATTTGAAGAAAATGGATTTTTAAGTGTTTATGAAAATGCGGAAATTTGATTATGTTTTCACACAAAACGGTTGCGTTCTCGAGAATATTTATATGACATTATTTAAAGCACATGTACTCATAAATACAATAATGTGAACAAATTGTCACTAGAGTAAATATTAACAACTAGAGACAAGTAAAAAAATTACATTAATGTCATTTTTGAAAAAAGAAAAGAACAATATACGTTTTTGTCATTTTATAAAGTGCATTTAACACTGTCTTTATCAAACGTTTAAAGAAAAAATTTGGAGCCTTTTTGGAGATTTTTTTTGTTTTGTTTTGTTTCTCGCACTTACGAACGTAAGATGAGATAGTAATCGTGCGCAGGAAAACAGCGAATTGTCGACATAAAAACTTATTGCTGGGCCCTGGTAAGGAAAATGTGGACAAATCCAGTTGCTAAATTTAGGAGAAAAAAATCCTCTAACATGTGGTGTAGACAGAATCCATGTTTTGTGTGTGCTTGAGACCGAAAACTCGATTGACGACGAAACACATGTCTGTCCGTCCGTCCATCAGTGCACAACGTTAGCGCATAAACCGTTCAGTCGATTTTCTTCAAAATTGATATTCCCCAATTGTTCTAGCTGATGAACCCTGGAATTTAAAAACAATATATTAATTTTGGGAGGTACTTTACATGACGCCCCTAGAACATTATCATTTTTTTTAATTGCTCCAAATTTTTTGATTACATTTTGATGTAGAATAGTGAAAATAGCGTTTAAGGAAATAGTGTAGGTTTCATTTTTGTTAACGTCATCAATTTTTCGAAAATTGAAGAAAAAAAAAATTAGAGACAAATTTTTGTCTCAGACAAAATCTTTTTTACAAAATTACCTCTTTAATGAAGGTCAAACAATCGTAGAGATTTTTCTTTCAAATAAAATTTGTTCTTCATAGTGAGTTTTTTAGTTAAGGTCATGCACATGTTTTAGAAAATTTTAGTAGTTTTACCGCAATACTGCGATCAAATTGTGCAATTTAAAAAAAATACAAAAACAAGATTTTCTCAAAAAAAGGCTCCAATTTTTTTCGTTGAACTTTTGGTAGTGATATTGCTAAATGTACTCTGTGAGACGACATAATAATTTATCCATATTACTTTATCTTTTTATTTTTTCAAACATTACAAAAATATAATTTTTCTCTTGTCTCTCACGTCGTTAATACTTATACTAGCAGCAATTTGTTCACATTATTGAATTTATGAGTACACGTTCTTTAAATAATGTCAAATAAAGTTTGTCGAAAACTCACCCGTTTTCTCTGAAAACTAGCTCAAGATTACGCATTTTCAGAAACGCTCAAAACGCCATTTTCTCAAAAACGGTTTAAATTTTTCCTTCAGACTTCTCAAACGGATAGTGCTAATTTCACTCTTTAATTTGACATAAAGTTCATTTCAGAGTATTTTTGTTGTTTTTTCTTTCAATAATTACACAAATGTACTTTTTTGAAAGATCTCTCACGCTGTTAATATGCACAATTCCAACAATTTTTAAAGAGTTTTATATTTGTGAGTTAAACTAATTCAAATTAAGTTTTTCGAAAACTCAAAAATTTTATGCGAGAAAGAGCTTCAAATTTCCAATTTACAGAAGCGGTTGCACGCCATTTTCATAAAAACCGCTCCAAATTTTTCAAAGAAAATTGCAATTTAGGTCGAGGTTTTACTGCTCTTTAATATTCTTAAAATAATATTTCCGTTCTACTATTAGTAAATCGAAGAATTAAGAAAATGTCAAAAAATGTATTTTAGGCGGCGATAGTTGGCAGCTTGGCAAGAGGATGGGTCAAGTCCGAATAGCTAGCCGAGACCAAAGAAAATAAAAAGTATGTGTCATTCTGTAGCGTCACTAGTTTTTTTAATTTTTAATTTTAATTTTTACGTCGTGGTTGACGCAACGCCCAACGCTTTTATCCCTTCGGCCTGGGGTTGATGCCCAGGGCAGGATTTACCTACAAGCAAAACAAGCAGTCGCTTGGGGGCCCCCATTCACCAGGGGCCCCGCGTTTCGGAAAAATACGCATACCTTATTTTTTGTCTGGGAAATAATTGTTAATCAAGTAGTCTACTGTGTAACAAAATGTACAATTTCAAAACATTAAAAAAATATTTATTACATGTTAAATTAGTCCTAATATTAATATACTTATTTCCTTATTATTAATACTGAATATGTAATTTTTTATGCAAACCTCAAAATTTTTCTGCTCAAATTAACAGCTATGGGGGGCCCCCCAGGACAAAAGTGGGAGCCTATATAGACCAAATAAAATGTATTAAATTAATTAAATAAAATGTATTAAAGTACTTGTACTATAATACATACATACATACATTTATTAGAACTGCAAATGGGTATGATCCGCGGGTACATATTTATTTAATAAAGATGGACTATTTTTCGGGGGGGGGCAACACAATTTTGTGCTTGGGGCCCCGCACTACTTAAATCCGGCCCTGTTGATGCCGTTAGATCCCGGGGTTCCTAGCCGGTCGCCCACGAGGAACCCGCAAGTCTCGAATTCGCTTCACCTCCGTGACTTCACGGAGCGTAGTAAGCGAATTTGGCTAGCGACGCCGACATAGTTGCGGAACTTGCTTTACAAAATGTTTTGGAACCAACGAGCTAAAATAGACTACGTAGAATGGCTGGCCCTAAGGGTTGCAACACTCTTACTGGACGCACGACGAACTATTGACTGTTGTGTGTTTTGGAATTAAAAGAGAAGTGCATAGCGGTGGCGTGCCTACTACTAAATCGACGTATTATTTGTATCAGATCCATATTGTTGTCTTTTTATCTGTATTTAAATTATATTAGTCGTTAATAGAAGTCACCAAACCACAATAATATCATTTTTTCAAGTTGACGGTTTTTTGTGATCTGTTAGTTTGCTTCTTATTGCAATAACATTCACGTTCAATCGTTATGCTAACTAAAATATAATTTCAACAGCTTCCATTCTTATGACAATAACTGATGCAGAAAGAAACGTATTTTTAAAGAGTCTCAATTCGTTCTCCTCACAGATTGTTATATGGTTTTTAAATGATTGGTTTTTGCTGAAACACAGTAAGAGATTTGCATTACGCGCGGCCCATGGCCCACCTGGCCGTAACCAGCACTAAACAGAATACTGGAATACCGTAGAAGACTGTTTCTCCGGAGGACTCTGCTTTGTCTGCAAAAAACGTCTTCAGGTTGCTGCAAAGATGGAGGCACTTAAGCCACTCTATGTAGTATATTCTAGTTCGTTGTTTGAAACACACATTGAAACGAATAGTGTTTTTACAAGATATTACTCAGTTAAGGTGACCAGATGTTTCATATTATCCGAGAGAGTCTCTCAATTTGAGTCACTGTCCCATATTTTTTCGTCAGGAAAATAAGACGCTTAGTTTGTCCCTTTTTCGTGACAATAACTTGTCAGAAGTAAATGTCGTGAGCGAGATTAAACTTAACACAAAAATATATTCCCTTTTCTTCGCATTTGTTTATTAAAAATTAAGTGCGACAAGATGTGCCCCTGCGTCACTAACAAGATGATTGGACCGTCGGTTGTGGTTTTTAGGAAAAGAAAATTCAACTATGGCATAATTTCATGCTTTACCCGCTAACAATATCGTAATGGAGAAATTCAATAACCCGATCCTAATGCTTCTGAGAGTTCCTGTGCGACTTAGTTAGTATGCAATCTTAATTGCCATACTTCATAATGAATCAAAATGCAAATTAACACATGCGTGTTTTTCTTATTTCTTATATTCATTTCAAATGAATTTTTTGGCTTTAGTGAATTGAATGCTACTACATCATGAAAGTTATACGTATTTATTCACATATTTTATCTTATTATTTATACTTTCCAAACCTAAATATTTGTGATATAATAGTGTCTAACGTCCTCTTTTGCCTCTTTTATCTTTGCGACAAAAAACAAAATGTCTCATTTTTATGATTTCGAAATATGTTCAGCTTACACTCAGCATATGCACTGTATGCTAAATGTTAGTAATATTAATGCGGAAATTAATTGTAAATGTACTTTTCAGTGCATTTTGGGCTTATCATTGTATTCGCAAAATATCGATTTTCGCGCCAATATGCTTCGTTTGCAGCCATTCTGATAGCTCTGTTGGCAGACAAACCTGTGATAGGGTTTTGAGGGGAACAATGTGGTTATACCAACAATCTCGGAAGACATAGGATTATCTAATGTCATACTACATCTCTTATTGGGACAGATTTAATCATGGCTTCAGTTCTGTCAAAATAACTTTTTGCCAAGAAAGAGTGATCCTAACAATTTTTTCCCCTCTCAAATTAACATTCCTGTTATAAAAGACTTCCACTAATATAATTTCCATTTTGCCGAGAAGTTCATAAAACTAGAAACCTACGAACCGAGTCTTCTCCTGATGATTTCTTCAGAATAATTTACTAATACTGTATTGTTGGTGATGCATCCCTGGGAAATAATTCCTTATCCAACAGGAGCACATTTACGGGGTTAGTGTCGATGGCATCTTGTTAATCATAGAAATTTGTCATATATCCTTAGCCTACTGTACATAGAAAGGAAGGGATAACAAACAGGTAGTAAATATATGGTGGGGCCATCTATAACATGACTTTCAGAACAATTGAATAAAAGACTCTGCGGCAGATGAAAGATTTGTATGCGCCGTGGAAGTTGAAACATGAAAATAGTGTCTATGTTAGAGAATGAAGAAAGGATTATGACGTCCATCTACCTGAAGATATGATTATTGGAATCTCAGTGTTCACGTTCGTTTTATGGTTTTCATTTGCAAGTGAGTCTGCGTGTACGTTACAATACCAGAAAATCAACAAAGATATTGTTAATAATTACATTCACCGCACTATAGATATAACATCACCTTTGATGAAAGTTAATGTGACAATGAGAATCCGTAATACTGGCGACACAATTATTTTGGGCTTCTTGTATGCATTAGAAAAGAAACATGAGGAACATCTGGCTTATATTGCAGCGTATACACAAGCTGGCCATCGCCTGAGAATCAGTGATACGGATACAGAACGACATAATTCCATATCATTTAAATTTATTTATTTCAAGGATGCTCTTCTACCCAATACAGTTGTTCAAATTCACGTACAGACAATATTTACGCATCGGCTAATACCATTGCAGAACTATATTACACAATCTGGCTCACAAATGGTTCGTTTTAAGGACAGCCACTACTTTCTGTCTCCTTATCCAACATTAATACAAAAGACTATTGTAATCTTTGGATCACAGAATATTAGAGCTGTAACAAATGTTGAGCCAGTGACCAGACTTGGAAACACATACAAATATGGGCCATATAACAAAATCGATGCTTTAAAAACTAGTGCAATGGTTCTTCATGTGGAAAACAAAAAGCCATTCCTTACAATTTTAAAATTACTCAGAGTAATTTTTGTTTCCCATTGGGGTAACATTCATGTTAAAGATTCAATTGAATTGGATAACAGAGGTGCCATTTATGTATCTCGGGATCACGGAGAGAAATATTTGAGAAAACAATATTCTGTTAGGACAATAATACCAAGATCTGCGAAGAACATTGAGTGTCATGATGTAATTGGAAAAATGACCACAAAAGTTAAATACCACAAAAATTTTACTGAATTGATTTTGCAACCAAGGCTCCCATTAACTGGGGGAACAATTACTAATTACAATGTGAGTTATTACCTTTCAACTGATGACTTCTTATACTACAGTGAAAATGATTACGTCTTGAAAATGCGATTAACTGATCGTATTTTACAGAACATGTGCATTGATCAAGCAGAAATAAAAATTATATTGCCAGAAGGAGCGTCAGAAGTAATATTTTATGTTCCGTTTCAAACATTTCGTTTACCAAATGGTATTCATAAATTGTTTCTGGACATTTTTGGTCATCCTACCATCTCATTGGTGAAAACAAATGTGATAGATCAACATGTAATTGACTTTGAACTCTTGTATAGCCTTGAAACTATCTTCTTCATTTATAAACCTGCAATCATTGTGTTGCCAATTTTTATTCTTTTTGTGCTTTTTATTTTGTGTTGTAGGAATAGTGATGATGAAAGAGAAAAAAATGATTAAAATTGTGTAGTGTAAATAATTATTGTTGAAATACATCTTTGAACAAGTCATATTTGTGTAACTTTTTACACATTTTATGCGCCTTATTTCGAGTTAAAATGGTACTAATTGAGAAAGAAGACAACTGACGCTGCATTGTGTAAATAACTTTTGAAGTGCACTATTGTAAGTCAACTTGGTGTTATAATTATAAAATCACTGTACATGAGTAAAAAAATATTTGCATTGATTAAGCCTTTGCATTATTTTAAATTGTCACAATTTTGTGTCATTCAGTAATCTTAGGTGGTGATTTATTGAGTACTCACTTTTCCCACAATCCAAATTATTGTTTTTTTTTACCATAATTGGCACAGGCAGGTTTGGTATCCTCAGTCAAAAATTGAAGAGGATAATAAATGATGGGGGAGAAAGTTGACGAGCCAAGAGCTAAGCAACTGATCCTGATTCTATTCTTACTTGAGATCAGTAGCGTATTTTCGGAGAACTGGGATATGATAATTTTTTATAGAATATTTCTTGAATATGTAAAGTCATCTTATAACCACTTACCAGGCATAAAATATAAAGTATGACACTTATTGAAGAAATAGGGGAACCATAACATAAATAACAATCAATGATGATATTGTTTTTAAAAACGTTTTCAACTAAATGCATCAATAATTTAAAAATCTATTGATTTCAATAAAAGGGACATTTGAGTACAAACAATCAAATTGTCAACTTCCCTTCTGATTAGAAGAATCAATGCTTTTCCTGATTTATATATTTAATGTTTCCTACTTATTCATTTTGTCCCGTTTTTGCAACTACATTTCTGAGCTATCTTTTGGGCATTGAGCGTAAATACAGAGTAATCTGGAATTAAATTTTGTCTGACTCGTAATGTCACAGAAAGTCATTACGTATTATCCTTTCAGCCAGAAGCTCAGCTTTGTTAGTAACTGGGGTTTCCAGATGGTCACCCATCACCCATTCAGGAACCTGTGGTGACTTGAGTTGCTTTACTTCTGTGACTTCACAAAGAATAGTTAAGGAATTTGACTAATAACACTGGCATATATTTTTCCCTATTAAGAACAGTAGTGTGTTTTGCAGTACATGATGAAAATGTTCAATAAAGTAAGACAGGGTAATATTAAATTATCGTTGTCAGCTGAGCTCAATTACTTATGGAATCTCAGATTATCTTGCAGTAATGCATTGTGAAAGAGACTCTATGGTTATGACCACTCTGATTTCGCCATGAATATACCAAAATCAAATAGATGAGCTTAAAAGATAAACTTTCTGTCAAAAATAAAAGTAATATAATGTAATGTTATTTTCAGAATGATTAATAATTTAAAATTGTTTCAAACATTTCCCCGGCTACTAATGATTCTCTAAATCCCTTGATTATTGCAGATGAATAATATTCTGTCTTCCTAGATTTCCAGAAAACTGCTATCATGACTTTAGTAAATGAGAAAAATTTCATTATTTCAGAAATGTACAATTTCTTCAATCTTTAATTACTCTTCTATTACAATTTTAGAGATGAAAAGCTTAAGGGTTAAAAAAATCTGATAGTGTGATGCATGAAACTAAAAAAGTTTCATTGTACCAGAAAAACTGGTCTATGCCTATATTTAACTTATTTGACTTGAATTTGTGGAGAGAGTATAAATTGTTTGTAAAGTGTTCAAAGAAAAATTATGCAAGATAATTTTCTCTTGGTACGTGACAAATAAGTTTGATTAGCATCCTGTTCTTGTTGCTTTTGAAATTGAATTTTCTTCCTTTTCCTTCTTTTGATGATATTAATACAGTGATTCCTTCTTTGATAAATATTAATACAGTGATTTTTTTTTTTTCATTGGAATAAAAGTTAATTATTCAATTCTGTGCTACTTTATTTTTGGATATTTTCTCACACTCATTACTTCATAAACTGTAGATAGCATTAGTTCCACTGCACAAAATAGTCTGTAATAACTCGTAGAATGCATAGATAAACATGTGAATGTTCTATGTAATTATGCGCACATACATACATAAAATTAATTATTTAAATGCCCATATTCAAATTTGTGATTTCTACCAACAGCAATTTTGTGGTAATTACAGTTTCATGTATTAATTTTATTATCTAAAGTTATTAGTCAATAAGGAATCGGGAAGTTCTGTAAATGGAACAGACAGTATTTACTTTAAGCTATATGTAAGAAAATATTACACAAACACTGAACTGCTCTTTTGAACTATTTTATTGAATACACCAGTACATTTGTGACATTAGCAAACTGAAAGGAGCACATAACATCGAGCCTGTGAGATGAGGATATAGGGTTTTGAGGGGAACAATACAGAACGATGTGGTTATACTGACATGCTCGGGAGACATCAACATCAGTGTATAAGAGCATCAGATTATCTAATGCTATAAATCTTCCCTTGGGACAGATTTAATTATGACTTCAGTTCTGCCAACATAATTAATGTTTTGCCAAGAAAGTGTGATCCTGACAATTTCTTGCCTCACCAAATAACATTCCTGTTACCAAAGACTTCCACTGAAATCATTTCCTTTTTGGCAACAAGTTCATCAGTCACTCCCTTTTTACAAGGAATGTACAACAATAATCAATCGTGTTCCAACAATAACACAAGAAGCCTTTGTAGAATATGCAATGGGGCTATGCTGTCACATAAGCCATCCCAAATACCAGCAGGCCATGATCGCAGCTCACCTAAGAAACACACACTAGCTCAATATAGAGCAATATATTTAACTGTAAATCAAACTAAAAAATACTTGATGCACATATTTTTCATGATACTTAAGACGTACATTTATTAGCATACAATGAATGTAAAGTAAATAAAATGTTAGCATTTAAACTAACTTCTACATTATATCCTTCTCTTCCCAAGTTCCACTAAAAATAAATAAATATTACAAATGATTTAACAAAACAACTGATGACACAATTTGATTCTATTTGAAAAATTAAAATTGTAAAGAAACATGCACACACTCATGCAAACTGGTAACCAGTATCTTGCAAAAACACAATATTAAATAAAATAAGTTTAATGAAGATTACAATGAGTAAAGTTACCGAGTTACAACAACACCTTTAAAGTGTTGTAAGGTTTTAAGGAAATAAGAATAAACATAAGGAACTGATCTAATTAATTGAAAGCTACCATTATTCAACATTAATTGATAAGAAATGTACATGATAGGCCATTTTAATTCTGAGTCTGCTGGCCCAGGGAGGGATGTGATTGCAGGGCCCTTAATGGTTTTGATAGGACTACAGATCACTAACATGGGTTATACTGTACATGAAGTTATGTTTATTGGTTATTGCATCATTATATCTTTACTAGCCTAATACTTAGCTCTACATGTGTCAGAAGATCCGATTTGCTGTGCCAGACATCCCATAACCCAAGACAACTTTTAACCTACAGATATGAAATAAATGTGCCATTTAGGGTGATACCAAATACCAAAACAAAGTTATGTAATTATTTTCAACCACAATAGCCTTGTACTAAAGATATACTCATCAATTAAAGAATGTTGACATCATTTCATCACATAATTAAGTGGTCAGAAAATTGGAAGGCACTTCACTACTTTTTGAACACATTTAAGCCAAGAATACTAACAACAATGGACAACCATTCCTACATACATTTTTTTAAGGTGTGAACTTTGTAGTACAACCTATTCCTGAATACGTCCACAACAGGAAGTTAGGCACAAGTTGATGAATGCTATGTAACTTATACGCATTCACTATGTATACAAATTTGTATGCAAAAAAACTGCTTATCAAGAATAAGGTTGCCTACAAATTCACTGCACAGCTAGGTTTCTTTACTAGCTAGTCATATTAATTAGTATTATTTTGTTAAACTGATTTCATAAGCAAAATGAATTTCAAGGCCACTTCTTTATAATTTTCTATTTTCTTTTATCACTTTGCTTTTGTAAGTGGTGTGTCAACAATCTCAATTCAAATGTGGCATACCCCAATGGCAGGAAGGCATTTTCAAATAATTTTCTAACTTTGCTATCAATATAAATTTTGTACATAGTCATTTTTTTCTAAACAAACAAATCACAAAAATAAGTACTGATTTTTGTTTGTTTGTGGTACATCTTAAGCTACAACTGACTAGACTAGACTGGCATATTACAAGGGGAGGGGGATATAGAATTCTCTAAACAGATGGCCACAATACAACACCAATCGCTGATCACCGCTACAATTTCGCACACGGACGTCAGGCGCCTCACAACGGCCGTCTGCTTAACCCATAAAATATATAACTTGTCTATAAAGTCATTATATACTCTACCAACTCTCCAGCCCTTCGAGCAGAATGCATGACATGTTTCACTTGGTGAAGCAGCCAGCAAATAGATTCTTGATAAGAAATCTCCAACAACAATCATATTTTTAAAAACTCCTATAAGTTCCCTGTACACTATGTTGGCAAAACACACTTCATATATTTCAACTGTTCCCTAGTCATTGTCAAGAAAATAATCACAAGAATCACATCTAACTCAAGTTATGGAACTAAATCAGTACGTTAAATTAGTACGAAACATTATGTCCCGACACAGCCCCGCAGGAGGCAGTAACAAACCTCGCCATAGTATGTGCTATATTTTACATACACACACCATGTAGTTGGTCAAGGCAGAAACCAACAAAGCCTAAATAAATACATATTTCTTACATGAAACATGAAATGAACTTGACAGTGTAATAATTAATGTTGCACAATTTTACAACTACAGGTATTGAGAGCTTTGGTGCATTTCTTTTTATTTGAGTGTACAAACAAAGACAAACACTTGCCCAACAAGACATGGGATGCAGGCAGCTTTGTACTGAAAGCAACGGAAGCCTGGGGAGCCTAACAATCTGTTGTAGGGCAGGGAGGGAACGGCTCGCATGGGGAGGGCGAGGGAGTCCACACATGTACGACTGCAACTATTCTACAGTTTCTAATCTAAGTGTTGTCCTGTTGAACATCCTGCGCTATTGAGAAAAGAACATCTAACTTATTCTACATTGTTTTGTATTGATACAATTATGTTAATATGGTGCTTAATGAGTATTGAGAACTATTTCCTAAACAAATCTGCAAGTCTACTTTCTGTCATCTGCAACAGAAAACCAGATTGAGAGCAAGCGCCCTTCATGCGAGCCGATAACACGAGTCAAGCATACACCACACAGGAGAAGTGTACATACAACCACAGTGTGACCAAACAGACAAGTGTAGTGCTGGGGAAGAAAGTGAATGTGATGCGTAACAAGTCTTGGGCTGCTGGGAAACAAAGAACACCAACTAACACTGCAGCAAGGGGTCCTAACAAACGGCACAACAGGGTGCCGCTACCAGCACTGTTCCGAAATAAATTATCATGCACATGAGTAGGTGCGGAGCAGGCCCAGGGGTGGAGGGGAAAGGGGGTATGTGTGTGTATCACGTAGTGAACTCAAGGACCTTGGGAAGTCTCACTTTTTTATCTTCTTCTATCAGCTATGTATAGATTATTTTTGGAAGCTTTTGTGTGTTTTTTAAATTATCTCTCTACATCTCGGCTACAATATATATTCATTTATATGCACGAGTCCATTGCGCGCGCGTGGGGAGGGGGAGAGGGATGGGAGGAGGAGGCGGAGGCGGAGCGCACTCATCTACTCCTGGGGGCCCTCGGCCACCGGCTCCATCTTGATGGCGGCGGTGAGCGCCTGCGGCTCCTTGAGCGCGCCCAGGGCGTCGGGGGAGCCCACGAGCTGGGGGCTCTTCACGATATCCTCGATGTCCTCTTGGAACAGCGTCTCGGGGCGCGGCGACGTGAAGGACGCCGCCGGCTTGTACGTCATGCCGCTCACGCCGATGCCCAGCTCGACGCCGGCCAGGGGCGCGTTGAGCGGGGAGGGCGCGGGGCTGGGCCCGTCGGCGGCCGCGTTGGGCGATTCCACGGCGGGCGGGGTGCTGCGGCGAAGGCCGCCAGCGCGCAGGGCGGGCGGGCTGGGCATGCCCATGGGCGGCAGCCTAGGGGCGGCAGCGGCCTCCGCCATGCCGCCGCCTCCGCCGCCGCCACCGCGGTGGGGCCGCCCATGGGGCCGCCGACGGGGCCGGACTTGGGGGCCCGCCGTTGCCGGGGCCGCCGTGGCCGTTGCCCGGACCGCCGTTGCCATTGCCGTTGCCGTTGCCCGGGCCGCCGCCGCCGCTCACATGCTGGGGCGGGGGCGTGTTGAGGAGCCCCAGGCTGTTGGCGAGGCCGGCGTCTGCGGCGCCGTGGCCGTGTTGCGCCGCTGCCACCATGCTGCACATCTGCTGGCGCAGCCCCTGGGCCACCACGGCCACCGCTGCGGCGGCGGCCGCGCCCGGGGACACCGTGGGCTCCGGGCCGTTGCTGCACGCGCCGCCTCCGTAGCCCTGCACGCCCAGAGGCTCCTGCGACACGCGTCGTGCCGCTGCTCGCACCCGCTCTCTCTCTCGCGCGCACGTGCGCTCGCCGGCAAGGCAAGTGGCCGACAACACACACACACACACACACACACACACACACACACACACACACACACACACACACACACACACAGTGGGGTGACTCATGCAAATAAAGCCTTGGTGCATGTGTTCTGCGACTTACGGTTTCTTGTTTGGCTTAGAAAATTGTGAATCAAATTCATTACACGAAAATTGTGTTAAGAATAATAATACATTAAAATAATTTTAATTATTTTTACTGGAAGATATGTTTACTGGGATGCTTCTACCAATTATTCAATAAATTATGAAATGAAAAGTGTCAAATTATTTCATTATATTAAAATCCATCACCATCAAATTATATTCCTATCATAGAATCTAACCGACTAAAAGGCAAAGCGGCTCTCAAAAGGCAAATGCTCTTGCCCTTAGACGTGTCGCCGAGATGAAAATCGTTTCTACGTTGGAAAATAATGTAGTAACGTATTTGAGTTTTTAAAATCCAAGACTCGAAATTTATGCAAAACGATTATTAGGAAAATATCCTCTTTCAACATTCACAACTTTGTTGTAATATTTGACGTTTATGGTAATTTTCTTTAATACTATAAGAAGCATCCGTTTCGATCTTGCGATACATCAGTATAAGGCATTACGCAAGATTTACTCGAGAACTGAATCTACTAAAGTAGTTTTACTCAACTCATTTGGGCAATGTCAAAGATAGCTCATCATTAAGCTCATCATATCTTATATTAAGAATAGATTGTAGAAGAATAATTTTGGTCAAAAAGATTCATTTGAAATATTATATTCATGTTACCATCATTTTGCCACGAAATTTACGTTTTCGATATTTTAATTAGTGGAAATCACTACCTAAAGGAATTGGCCCGAAAATTAAAATACAAGCTTTCAGAACAATATATCGAATGATTTAGTTGTACAAAATACCTCACGTAAATCCTGAAAAACTGAATGAAGTTCACTTTCCGAATTTAGTACTGAAATGATGAATGGCGTGCAGTTTTAGACCCGCTAATCTTCCATTACATGCCATCCATTCAATATTCATTTCATGAATATTAAATGTAAACTGGTGCACAAGATCGGGATGCAAGTGATCATCATTAATTGTCTTTTGCATGTTACATTCTTTTTCGTTACTTGCGTATTTTCCATTTCAACAATTTGAAATCTCATGCGTTAATACGAAATGTTTATCAATCTCTGATGGGTCACTAGATTCTTATTTTTTCTTAAATGGAAATTTCATTTCGCACAGATAAAAATATTAAGTGTGTCGGTTGTAGAATAGAAAAACAAAAGCACGTAACATTCTGAAGTAATTGCATCACACAAAAACGTTTCATGCAAACATTCATACTTTGTAACATTCACATTCTCTCCGACAAGAAAACAGAAAACACAATTTCACGAGTCATTTGAAAATAGCCCAATGCAATTTTCACAAAAACGGGTCGGTACCCAAAGTTCACTTTCCCAGGTTGGTTCCCCCAGCCTTTAGGCCGCGTCCACGTGCAAGAGGGAGTGGAAATGTTGCTCGCGTTAGCTGGATCTACATCGCTTGCAATGTATTCACAAGGTTAACGCGCATGAAGTAGCAGGAGAGAGGGCATGAGAAAATGGAGGTGAAGCGAATTTGTTCTGCTCACATGATTACAAGCAATGCTACACACGCGACAGGCCACTGACAATTTATCTTTCCTAGCACTGTTCGGAAAATCGATCTTGTTAGTTACGGGTATCTGCCTATCTCGTGTGCCGCCCTGGTTCTCTCGACTGGTTCAATCATGGGGAGAGATGATTGACTTAAGAGTGTAGACCACAAAGACCGTATTATAAAAGCCGATGGTGAGTCCCAGTGATTCAATCTTTTATATTTACATTTATTTATGAAAATATAGATCTGCATTCAAGCAGTGAGGATACGTTTCGAAATTTCTGTTTCAAGTACACAAAAAGCTATCGTAATTTACGACAATTAATTTAAAAATTGTATATGCATCCAATTGCTTTATTAATTCTTTTTATGTTTACTTTATTCCTTTCTTTTTTCAACAGATACACTTTCTAGTGGAAAGTACGGGTAATCTTCTATTCTCACCGGCAAAGTTCATTGTCAACTTTTTCAAGATACATGACTAAACTAAATAATAATTTGGAAAACGATTAGATTTTTGTGACTCACAATTTAAACCAATCTCTAATAATAATAATAATGGTATAAATTGCCTGCCGTTTATACTCGTAATTATCTTTAAACACAGAAAACTGTACATAACATAGGGAGGAAACTTATTTGTAAATTCTTCAGTCATTTCTCCTATTACATTTTCCCTCCAGAATCATTTGAACTCTGTTATTAAACGGAGTCTCAAGGAAGTACTTACAGAACTGCAAAAAATTTCTCATTACACGAAAAAATAAGCAAATAAAGGACAGCGGTATGTGCGTATCCCAAGTTAAATATTCACGATCAAGAACTGATTCGAGAATACGAGTGAAAATTGCAATGGTTCTTTCCACAAAGGATATTAAACATAAAAACACACAAACAAAATGGCAAAGAGTTGCTAAAAAAATTACCAGTCAAATATGTTTTAAATTTCAAAGTAATGGGATTCTTTTTTGTCTGTTTTACTTTAGCTAACGCAAGAGGACGGATTATACCGTAAGAAAATATTTTATAAAAATACTATGTTTAAATGGCAATTAGTTGATTAGCAACTCTTTCCATTCCGAAAGTGAATACGAGGCAAGCGTGCACTGCAAGCTGACAAGGGGTCTGTGCACTCCACCACTTACGAACTATCGCAGGGGCGACACTCGGGTCCCGGGCGCGGGGCCCTGCTGGGCGTGGCTGCTCCGCTTTCGCTGCCCGACTAGCACATTTCGAGCCGACCTTTTAGCACCAGGTTTTAGTTTTAAAATGGTATCTTCGCCGACATGAGTTCAGGAAAGAACTGATTAATACGGAGTCTTGAATATTGACAAAAAATTACGATTTACAAGAGAGAAGATTTTATTCGAAAATAGTGGGCACATTCTTTGTTGGAGATGTTGCTTTGAACGTCCCCATTATGGTATCGCCGATTAACAAGTTGTAGCTACATTTTTTAATTCATTGTATTGCATTTTGTCTATTAGTTTATTTACCTACAATATTCGTCCAGCGGTCATTGCACATTGTTGAATTTTGTGGATCGTAAAAAATAAAGTCCAAGACTAACATTCGTGGCTTGTTGTAATAAGGCAAGTATCTATAATGAATTCTGTGATGCAACCATTAAGAAATAATTACTGCTTCCGCAATGAAGTTTAGAGTGGACACTTGCCCAACACTTAGAGAATGAAGTAATATTCTGCTTTTGGTTATCAATCAATGAACAAGAAGTACAAAATACGCACATTTCTCTCAGAAATACGCTACAGTGAGAATGCCGGTCAATCAAGTAATTTCTCTGAATTTCGTCTGTTAACTCAGACACTGAAGTAGAACGGTAATTTCATAATACTCAATCTAATGCAAAGCGCAAAAATCGAATCAATTTCTGGAGTTCGTTCTGCAATAACGCTTCCCATTTCTTTTGGGCAGCTTGAAAGCGTCAAATAATTTCGTGATAAACGATGAATTCTTGGAAAGCTAATCAAATTGGCCGTGAAACATGATGTCAACTAAGTTTACATTGCCTATTCGCGTCTTTTCGTTAACTTCTCTCTCCACAAAAATTTTGAATAACGAAGAATTTTTGGAGTCTGCTTATTCAATCGAAAAACTAAAACAAGAAAAAAAAGTATTTATCCAAAAGAAGGAAACGAACGTAGTTTACACACGCGTTAAGTACACAGTGGTATCGTCAAATAAGCACCACGGGCAGCAGAATAAAATACACAAATATCACACGGACACCCGTCAAACTTATTTCAAAGCAGGTAAACTTGCGCATCTTTAATCAAGTTTAGCGCAAACATTCTGTAAATAACTTGTACGAGACTGGTTCAAAGATGATTTATTTATATACAACACTCGATTTCATTATTACCGTTGGATTATGATCATTCTTTGGCCAGTGTCAAAATGGTTGCTCTCACAGCCTATTTGATCTCAGAACATGACTTGCCTTAGCCTATTTCAGAAAATGGCTTTGCAACACTAGCCTTAGCCTATTTGACAACCGAGAAAATCGGTACTTTTCGTACCCTTTTCACTAAATATGTACGAATAATTATATTTTTAACATTTGTATAATCTTTCCAAAAATATACAACCTGTATGTGCTATGAATTAGGAATTTAATGGAACAGATGAGAGAAAATTGGCGTTAGAGGCCGATTGTAGTTACTGTTTCCAACTGAATAATTTTGCGGTGTGCTTGATAACACTTGATTAAAGCACTGAAGAATCGTCATAGAAATAATAAATAAGTGCCCGGCTCAAATGTTTAAAAAGAGTGCTAGTGCTAGTGCGTGGCGGGCGCGGGCAGCGGGGCCCAGCAGGGGCGCGCGCGCGGGGCCCGGGCCGGGGGCGGGGGCCCGCAGGGTGGCGGCGGGGCGGCTGTGTGTGTACCAGGGTGTGGTGGGGCGAGCGTACCGGGAGGCGCGCGTAGCCCAGGTGCGGCTCCTCCTTGATGTGCTGCGTGTCGCGGAACACCACGGCGCGGATCACGCCGCGAATGTGCTCTTCCGGCCACGTGCCCAGCAGGATGCGCTGGGGCCGGCCACGCCCCTTGGGCCGCAGGTCTGCAACAGGCGACAACACAGTTAGCCAAGGCCACGCTCACCTCACCTCCCAAGCATTTGCACTCATTGCCATTAATAACTATCAACACTCATTTCATATTAATGCCACTTTTTTTTAATCCCGTACTGCCCCTTAGTGCACACGAAAGACCTTAGAATTGCAATGTGATTCACTGGACTATATATAATTGGTATTGGGCAATAGGGTCCTCCAATCCTTCTAACCCTAAAAATGATTCATCATTAGAAAACTCGAATATTCACACATTATTCGTCATTCAAATTCTAGTTATAAAATGTCTTTATTTTTATTTCTTCTAGGTTTTAAAGTTGTTTACATTTTATAAGTCACAAACGTATCAGAACAGGTGTATATTAATCAATATCAATAACTTTTCATTACTTATCTTTAGATTAAAGAATATTTTATGTGACTGAAATGTACTGAAATCTACCCCAGAATCCGGAGTTTCCTTCTCCATTAATCAGTTTTAGCGGATTTTCTTTTATAATGTTGTCTGGATATATTATTATTATTATTATTATTATTATTGTCACTATCACATTATTGCAAAATACTGTATTGGGAAGTACCTGTAGGCCACTTTACAATTAAATTCAGTATGTACTCTGGTTCATGGTATTGCATTTACTAATTATTTCATTATAAACTAATACTGAAAATATTCTCAAATATATGAAAGGGGGAAAACCAGAACGGTATAAGTGACATTTTATAAATTCTGAGAAAAAAGTGTATATTTTTGGCTATATTTCAGTGTCAAAGTGTTTTCGTCGTTTTAATGAACAATTAATGCTGTGATTTTAATGATGAAACAAAGCGACAAAGACTGTACAGTGATATTGACTTAAATAAACAGATTTCTCAGAATTTATAAAATGTCACTTATACCGTTCTGTTTTCACCCATTCATATAATAGAAAAGTAAAATTATTACATCTCAATGAATTAATGGAATGGGCTTGACGAAAATGTTATGCTCTCTTCAGCAACAAGTGTAAAGGACTACAAAAACCTATTAGGTAAAGACGAGCAACAAAGAGCATTTGATAATTTGGTATAAATGGTAAGTTACCTGTACTTAAGAATATATATATATATCTATATATATATATATATATATATATATATATATATATATGTGTGTGTGTGTGTGTGTGTGTGTGTGTGTGTTACATTTTTATGCTAGCGAGCTCGCATTCCATGCCGCCAACTCGAGTTCTGTTCTCGGAGAGGCCAAAATTAACTGTCGATTTTCACTCTCATATCCCTTCTCACATAATTGCATGAGGTGACAGCATGCCAAAGGTAATGAGATCGCCGATCTATGGCGGAAGGGGGTTACCACAAGTCTCCCGATCCCATGGCCGCCATGACAGGTCTATGGTCTGATAAGGCCCAAATGCACACGCATGCGTCGGATCAGCTGCTTCTGATGCTCGGTGTTGGATATATATAACCCCCTGCCCCCGGTTAAAGGATAGCAAGCTACCTTTCCATGTCACGATTCCAGATTCGATTTCCGGATGGGATACACACTAAACAGTCCTTTTTGTGTCAAATACTAGTTAACAGCTGATGGTTGAAACCTTTTAGGAGGTAGAGAATGCCAAATAGATGGCGAAGGGGAGTGCGACCGCTTGCCTCAGGTCTTTCGAGGCCCTGGCCCTCAGGCTGGGAGACCCGACTCAGTATGGCCATAGTCTGACGAGATTATAGGACCAAAGTACAAACATACTATATACATTTATGTACGCTCCACAACAACCTTTTAACCACAGAAGCAATTACTCTCAAATGTTGCACGAACACTTTTGAGAAACCGAGAAAAATATGGGCCTTTTCGCGATTCCCTTGCATCGATTTTGGTCGCAGCCAATCATTTATGTTACTATAATTGTCGCCTTACCGTCACCTTGTTAGACGCAATTATGCTCGGAGAATATGTTTTAACAAATTTAATTATTTATGACACTGTAAACTCACTTCTAGGTGGCGGTAATGTTTCCAGGCGATGCAAAACCAACGGATAACACAGAGTTGGCGGGGGGGGGAATTGAAACTAGGGAGCGAAGCTGAGTAACAGACGATCGTGATTGAACAGCAAATTTCCGGTAACCATCATTATAGGGCCATCTACTCAAGAACTGTGCGGCCGCCCTACAATTCGCGCGCTTCCACCCACTTTCCCTGTCACGTGATGATGAAAACGCTTTCCGCCCTGGCACGCAATTCAGGCTCCTGCGAAAAATGGCCAGACACGTTTACTAAAATTGACCTGTTTATATTAAACATTTATTTCAAAACATGTTCCTGAAACGCCGTTATTATGCGGGCGTTGTTTTGTATATTCTGAATCTCAAAACCTATCTCAAAATACATCACAGGGGAATACCACATCGGGAGATCTCAACGGCCACAGACTAATTACTATCATTTCTTAAATCTTCAGTAGTTTACAAGACGTCATATAAACTCGAAGTGATACTATCTGCACAAAATGATGTATAGTGCTATATGGACATAGTGATTTCAATCCGAACGTATTCTTTTCATTCCTTGTAAGGTAGTGCGGGAAGAAGAAATATTGATAATCAACATTAAAAGAAAACCGAGACGTTTCTGTGTCGAGTATAAACAAAACCCCACGGGAACAGCCGGGCCAGAGGAAATGTTCAAACTTCGCACAATTGTAGAGAAGACGCACTGTATTTTTGTTACAATAAAAAGCGAAACTGGATAATTACCGAATCAGGAGGTCAATATTCACATTATCAAAAATGAATGGATAAAGTCTGAGGTAGGAACAGATACGAAGTATACTTCACGAAAGCACCATGTACGCAATTTCGTTGAATGAAGTTGGCATTAATAAACTCGAGCCGTGGCTAGATTGGGTGAAGTACGTTGTGATGACGAGGAATCGGAGATGGATGATAAATAGGAGTGCTGGAGGAAAGTTTGAAAAGTTAGTGAGAGACATGGTAGGTACTAGTTTCTTGTTCCACAGTATCAATTGTATAACACAATACTCCTTAAATTTCAGTTGACGCTTCGCTATAGATTTCCGAGTTGGTTAAGGGCTCAGAGTTAAGCGATTACGAAAAGCAATCTTGGGCCAGTGCAACTCCAAATTTTCAACGTATTTTTGTCACAATATTTTTTGCAAACACACTAGGCGCCTCACATTCGAACAACCAGTGCTCCGTGGCTGAAACCAACATTGCTGGAATGGTATTTGAATTGATACGTTCACCATCATTCACTGCCGGAGCGAATCCAGAAAGTATGGTAGCGGTGGTGGTAGTGTTGTTGGTTGTTGTTGGTTGGAACTTCAGATCGAATCCATCATATACATTTTTCTTGTTAGAAATAATAAAAACGAGTATATTTATAATAAGAATTTTAATTTGGATATAATACAAGTAGGGTGGTATATAAGAATAAATGTTATGGCATGTGGAGGGGTCGGCAATGATCACTTTTCGTCAACGAAATTGTTTACAATGAATATCTATGCATTACACGTGTGGCATTTGCCCCTGATTTTAGGCAACCCCATATGCACAGATGTTCGGCAGGTACACGATGTCTCTTAGATTGCGTTAGAACGGGACCTGACGAACATCTGTGCAAAGGGACTTGCCAAATAATCGAAGGAAAATGTCGTATGTGTTAACTCCATTATATGAAATTTCCCATTACATGTCCATTAGCAAAAAGTGATCATGTTCGACCCTTGGGTAATATCAAGATTACAACAGGCTTTGGGGGAAAAGTAAAGAACGAACATGGTGCCTGGAAACATATTTCATCTCTATTACTTATGCACAAATTTCTTGATGCTGAATTTTATTTTAACAATCGGGCACCGAAAAAAAGAACCGTTGGATTCCATGATAGTGTAACAAGGAAACTTGTTACAGTATCATGGATATGGTATACTCCAACGGTTCTTTTTTTTTTTCTTTTTTTTTTTTCGGTGAGTGAATCTATAATCCACATCCCCGAACACTATCACAGCTTCTTTCTTTATGCTTTCATCTCCTATATAGCCAGCTAGATTCATCATCGCCATGTTCTTTGTGAGATGTTCTTTGTTAAGAGAAACCTGCAATTTTTATTCTTATTCTATTGTAATCTCTAGCCTCGCATTGCCTCTTCGGTTGCCCCAGTTGGTGTCTGGATGGGCTGTTTGTTAAAATTATTACATTTCTTCTAACAGGTGATGTCTAGAGCGTTATAGGAAAACTTGTCAACCGTCTTTTCAACGTTTTACTTACAATGCTTTTTGTGATTAAAATTAGAACCATCTGAAGAGGTTTTTCATTATCATTCGCCCAATGTTGTTAGAACTAGGCTTACTGTTTGTCTACTCCAAATACCAGAACATCAGATGGCGCACAATACATTTTTATTTAAAACAATTATATTCCAAAGCTTAATGCTGACGTAAAGAAAAAAAATGTATTATATCTCTCAGAAACCCTCGAAATATAATTTTGTTTCATTCAGGCAATAAACCACAGTTTAACAGTCGTAACGCCGTATCGAACAGTGATACAACTTTTACCTCATGCGATTATGAAGAACCATCAGCAGATACTATAAAGCGAAATGGGATGCCCGCTCGAACTGATGAGCGAGCTTAGCGACCACCGCTTATCAGCAGATACTGTGACACTGACACCTAATATGCTACTTACGCGCGGCTCAGCGGGCGAGTAGCTTACTGGCCTCTGAACCGCGGGTTCGATCGCGACCGAGGCACGTGGATTTTCGACGGGCAGGAAATCCCACAGTGGCCATGATACGCATATGGCACGAAAAAGAAACCTGCAGGTGCCCGCAAAACTAAATCCCTCCGGCAATTCCCCGTCCTAACGACATCTAATGTTCTCCCAACCAGGCAGTTCGGATGTAGTTAACTGAGAACATCTATTTGACGAGTAAAGTAAGAATCACACCCAGGCGACTG